CAGTGCCGGCACGCCGGACTCTCTCAGCGACAACGAGACTGCGGGTGGACTCACCAATAGATATAGGAAGCCTAGTGTGCCCAGGTAAAACCTTATGACTTGTCACACTACTCTGAAAAATAAATATTTCAAGCTTTTTTTTACTAATTTGGTATGCTTTTTTTTAGGTCAACATTAACTCCTGGAGGATCAAGACCAGGTTCCAGGCCAGGATCAAGGGCAGGATCTAAACCACCATCTAGGCACGGGTCAAATCTTTCCTTAGATAGTACCGGTATGTCATACTTTGAAAAAAATCCTTGTTTTATCAAGTGATGCTTATATTTATAATACAACAATCTTTTTTAGACGAAGTGTTGACGCCATCTCGCATTCCGATGCGTAAAGTGACAAACACGAGGGCATCGATAGCTCGAGCAGCGGCCACTGCCAGCAAGCTTGGTGCGACAACACCCAACGGAGGCTCGCGACCCAGGACACCCACTGGACTTCTTACACCGGCTAGTGGAAGGTACGTTTCACTATCAAATATTAGTACAAACTGATTAAGGAATTGGAGAAATTTAGATTTAAATTTTAATTAGACTATAATTTATAATTGCAATTCGCCCATGACGGGACAGGTTTACAAGTGGAGGGATATACCGCACTTCCAGCATACCGACACTGTCCCCGGTGCCAGCGCTCGTGAGGTACACAATCATTGGAGTTTGCTCGTGCCTTCTTTGTTAAAGGGTTTTGTAGTGATCGCAATTAGTTACTTCAATACTGTTATACTAAATCTGGTTAATAACTTTATACCATTTTGTAAGATTAGAAATTTCAAATTGCGATCAACACTGTGGGATACACCGAGTTGAAGTGGCACGTTTTGCTTATGGGGTATATCTATGTAGTGACGTCAATAGCAACGTATGTCATCGCAGGGACTTGCTGGATGCTGTTACCGTTGGAAATCTATAAATATATAAAGTCTGGTGGTGGGGTTTGATTTTTGTACGTTGTATCGTCTTAGCAGAGACAAAGCACGTTGAAGTAGTTCAAGGAACATAACAGCTTTATCGTTTCAAGCCTGTTGACTAATATAACAAATTATATTAATACGATAAGGTTTTCAGTATTTATGATATTAAATAATTGTATTTTTCCTTCCCGCATGCAATACCAAAATGGATTAAAAAAAACAGTTCGACACATTCCCAGCCATCTTCCGTGGCGTCTGAACATCCCAAATCTTTATCACACAATCATCCAGCATTCCAAACCCAAGGTTCCACCAAGATTCCAGTTTATATCGGTCATCGATCTCAAAGGTCTCCATCCGTCGACCGAAGTTTAAAAATTTCACGCAAATCTCACTCTAGAGATATATCTCAAGAACCCAGTCCCACTTCCTATGATCCTTCACGGAAATCCGACCCGAGGAGTCCAGAAGATGATTCCTCGCTATTCAGCATATCGGGAATGACGAGCGACAATGAATGCGAAAGTAACATGAGCGAGTCGAGTGGCGAAGCACCAAAGCCAACTCAGCGCGACGGCAAAGGGTACATACCTATACAATGTTAGCTATGGTTTTGCCCGATTGTTTTTATTGATGCTGTTTGAAGTTTGATTCTTTTGGTTGTATTCACGGCATCGCCTTTTCATTGTTAGATAAATCTCGCCACATTTTAAAATCTCTCGCGAATGCTCCTCGGCTATCATTTGCTTGTTATTTTCATTTAATACACAGTTTACGTCTAAAAACACATTCACTCCACCCAACATTAGGAACCTTCATACATTTTTATGCTACTTGAATGTTGCCATAATAAAAAAATATATATTTACCAATAACTAACAATTTACCTTCTATATAGCTTTGTTTGTGCACTTTAGTCAATGCTTTCCCTAACACAAAGACAATACGCTATATGTGATATGTTTTGAACGATTCTATGATATTTCACATCGTTAAAAGCGAATAATTAAAGAGGCTTACTTAAATGTCCAGTCACAATATCTCATTTCTTCGCTTTTTTATTATATTGTTGTCTTTCTCTGTCTATATTGCTGTCTCACGTGCACTGTATGTTGTTTGTGTTGTATTTGATAAGTTACATTTTTATAAAGCTTTTTTTTAAATCAATTTATCAATATTTTACCTTTACTGAGAAAATCTAAAAATCGAATAAATCTATTTTTTCGCGTTAATTTCCAAAGACAGTAGCACGTGGGGCCGCAAATATATATTAAATAAATAATATATACTACGTTACTAAATTTCTATACGTGTATGCACACTAACATCGTCGTAGGAGCGGCTCGTTTGCCTTCGCCGAGGGACAAACGCCCGGCCGAAGTCGCATACCGATTCTAAAGGACCAGCACACTAACAGTAACCTTACTAGGTAATTCTTTCCTATCCTTTCTTTTACTTGTAGATGACAGTTTTTGGTGATTTTTTTTCATGTTTAGGTAAAATATTGAATGGGTTACTTTGGGATGCATGTTAATTTTGTGATGTCATGAGTACAGTTGTGATATTGATCGTATAGGCAAAGGACGCCATCGGGCAGCAGTACGCCAGTGCGGCCCGGGCAGCAGACCGCGACAACGCGACTACTCAGAAAGAAGTCAGACGCGTCAGATAGCGGAGCTCCTACTACGCCTCTGACACGACGCGGGACTCCGGCGAATCGAACTACGGAAAAACGCGAACCATTCCGACTATAAACGAATTTTTATTCGATTAATCGATAAAATTGAGAAGTCGTTTCTCGATTTTGTCGCTTATCGATATTATATTGTATTATGATAGACACTTTGATACGAAATTAATATTTTTCAAATTATTATTTGCGTTTATAAACAAATATATTAGCCAGGTATAAAATTTGCATATTAAAAAAACTAGAAAATCCACAAAAACATAATGTTAAAGTGTCTGTTTTAGTACATAATTAAGTGCCGATATGTCTATTGGATTATACTAACATTCAAATTAACCTGTTCGCGAATGAAGCCAAGCTTTTAAAATATTTGCGAATTTGGCTTTTAATTAGGATCAACGATAGTAGTGAACATAAAGTCTGCACTCGTTGCCTTGTATACTGCTTTTTCTACAAATCCGTGCAAATTACGTTTGTTTACTTATCTTTATTGCCAGTATATATTCTTATGTAGAATCCAAAACGACATATTCTTTCGTACATTGCCTTGTGAATACGTTTTTCTTATTTATTGTCGACGTTGCCATAATTGTTAGTGTATGTTAAATACGTAGAGTCTCTCTGAGGACGGACGAGTGAGAGTTGAAAATAATTATTTGTATTTATTTCTTTAGGGACCATTTTGTTTACGGAATATTGACTATATTTGATCAATGGCGATGGGTTTCCTTCCCGCAGACGATGTGGTAGTTTCGCCAGACTACTGCGACGTTACAGGTTCTGAAATCGATCGTCGATGATCCTTTAAGGTGATAATAGGTGATATTGATTAATTTTTTTTTGCACAATCATGGTTCTTTTGTCGTTTTTTTTTGTGTTCAAATGAATGCTATTTAATTTGACGATTGTCATTTTAGAATATATATTATACTTTCGTATGTGATTTATTTATATTACGATTTGAGCACAATGTTTTGTATGTGAGTAGGTGATATATATTGAAGCTTGGAGATTGAGATGTGTTTGTGACTGTCGCCAGAGTCACGGGCACACCGACATCTTCTCGCTTCTAAGAAATTCCATAGCGGACTTTAATTTTAAGTGAAATAACTAAAGTACACTTGTCGAAAAGAAAAGACATTTCCTTAATAAAGCTTAGAATACTTTTGATATATAAAATAAAGAACGCTTAAAATGTAACCTTCATTTATAAATGTTAACCAACACTCACATTTATTTGTTAATTTAATTATAAATTTGACTTTACGATTAAAATCTTATTATTATTAGTAACTATTTTAAAACTATTAATCTGGTCATTTTTATTTAAATCATTGTTGTATTTGTTGAATATAAAATCAAAGCAAATTTAACTAAGCTTGCAATATTTTTTGTATAAAATAATGATTCTTAAGAGCAACAGTTTTAAAAATCTCATTATTGATTTCTGAATAAACAAATAACAATATTACAGTGTTTGATTTCATTTCCTATCCCTTGGATTTTTCATCTCATAAGGAGGCAAACGAACAGTGGACCTTCGATGTGGAAATCTTAGCACACAAACAACAATACGACAAAAATATATCTAATCTTGAAATCACTTTTAGATTTTTTTATATCATGAGGTGGCAAACGAGCGAGCGGCCACCTGAAATCGCTGAAATAGCGAAGTGACCGTTGCCCATAGACATACGCAATTGCATATGCGTAGCCTACCTTTGATCGACGGAGGAGAGGATGCACTGAAAGCAAATATATTCCCTTTCCATGCATCCTCTCATCCGGAAAGTCCACTTCCCATCCTATAAGAAAAAGGTGGGAAGGGAAATTAGGCCTCCGGGACGCACACTCATCAGACGAAACACGGAATAGCTTCCACTTGAGGCGTGTCTTCTGTGTGGTCGTGGTATTTCACCGGGCAAAACGGGCCAACTCGTGCGAAGATGTTAAAGCGGGCTCTGCCACTGTTAAAGATTTAGATGAATAATTTCGATACAGAGATTTTCGAATAACAAGTGGGATGAACCTTCAGCATTGTAAACCATGTCGGATATAGTAATTCTGGGTATTATTCGCTTCAACCTTTGGCGGTTCAAGGTTAGTTATGCAGCGCGCCGCCTGCATTCCTTTATGCTTGCAACAACTAAAATTGTGTTTTACTCAACGACTCACGCGAAGATCCCGGCCCCAAAATGTCTGATTTCCCCTATAGTCTTTTAAAGTTATAATAAAAGCTGTTACGAAATAACGGTTACTTTAAGATTACTGCTAAAAGAAACTTTTTCCGTTATTTTTTAGTGTGGCAACTTTCAAGTTTTCGTGACAAGTAAAAAAGCATTTTAGGCATTTGACAGTGACAATTCAAAAACAAATTAAGACGAAAACAATATTTTCTTTGCACCTATATATTTGTTTTGTACAAAATTTTTATAAAAAGCTAGAAAGGAACTTACAAAATGGTTGGCATTAATATGGATGGCCCATCACGAGAACGAGTAATGAAACTTATTGAAGAGAAAGATAGGATTGAAAGAGAAATTCAGGAACAATCAGATATCCTTGCAACGAATAATGTTGGTATGCACGATTCTCTGGTGGATAGTGATGGATATCCGCGTAACGACATTGATGTGTACAAAGTTAGGCACGCCAGACATCAAATTATATGTAAGTCTAAACTGCAAATGACTAAGCAACTTTTGTGCCTAGTTCATATTCTGTTTATTTGTAGTAGCATCATTAACCAGTAGGTTTGGACTTTAGTCAAACTAATACTAATATAGTGATGTTGAACAGTGGTAGAGCCTACGATAATAGTAACTGTTGGTTGCACAAATGAGTTGGCTTGACAGTGAAATACCACAACCACATTGAAGACATGTGAAATGTAATCAATTCTGCCTGTCATGTGATGCATGTTTGTGACAGAGGCCTAATTTTTTTTATAAGAGAAGGGGGCAAACGAGCGGCGGGAACACCAAGGTGATCAACAACATCCATGGATATCTGCAACACCAGAAGAACTCCAGATGCGTTGCTGGCCTTTAAGGAAATAATGGGAGGGATATGAGTATTGGCGGAACATGGAATGCTATGGGAAATATTCTTGTTCTGTGTGGGCTTTCCTCTGTTGATTAAAAGTAGGCAACACACCAACAATTGCTGATGTCTATGGGCAGTGGTTTCTTCGCTATTCCTGTAAATTTGGGTGGTTGCTTGATCATTTCGTACCTTGTAATGAAAATAAAAAATTGTCAAAAAGAATGAAAGAAATGACAATATGTATTACAAGGGTAGTATGTATAAGAATTCTAGGGCTAGGATAAAATATGGTAGTAATTTTTACAGATCTTGTTTATTTTAAATAAAACTCATTGTATTTATTATGAAAATATATTACGGTGCTCTCCTATTTATTAAGAGATTATAATTTTAGGCTTACAAAATGATCACAAGGCAATCATGAAGAGGATAGAAGAGGGTCTTTATGAAGTGCACTCTGAGTTCCGCGGCTCAAGTAACACTGGTACATCGCAGCAAGCTACATCTGCTACATATACTAATGGACATGCTATAAACAATATTAACAGAACTGTGACTGAAGATCGGTGTTTCGCTATTGTTGGATTTGTCCATGATGGCTCTCCTGCAGATCTTGCGGTAAGTATTTACTGAATTAGGACTTTGAAAATGTCTTTTTAAGTTATAAAATATATTATTTTATGTTTCAGGGTTTATTACAAAATGACAAAATCCTTCAGTTTGGATCTATCAATCATAGTAACTTCTCCGATGTAACACAAGTGCACCAGATTGTATCACATTCTGTGGGTCAGAGGATAGAGGTCAGGGTCAAGAGGGATCAGAATGTCATATCCCTATCAGTGGTTCCAAGACCTTGGACGCACCCAGGTCTTCTCGGCTGCCAGATTAGACGGTATACAGAGTCATAAGGAATACAATGGAGACTTTCATTCATGTACAATGCAGTTTGTTTCTTGTTATATTTAAGTTGAAAAGTTAATTAAAAGTAAATGTAATAACAAAGATTTTGTTTTAAAATTTAAAAATAAATTTTATGATTAATAACCATTGCCTTTGATTTCTTCTCTTTTGAGTGCCTCTCTATAATCTCTGCTACATCTAGCTTTTCAAATGTCAATTCGGGAACATTTGTGTCAGATTGTATCTCTTCTTTTTTAATATCTTCCTCGTCTGGATATGTATATTTCATGGAACAATCAAAGTAGACCTTGTCGTCTACCAGGCGGTAGTCCGGTTTAGTTATGGTACCTCGAACGCAGTCATGATAGTGGCAGACAATTTTCTCTTGCTCATAAGTTTCACATGAACCTAAAATACATAATTCAAAAGTTTTTATTACTTCTATACTATGTCATTTTAAAAAGTAGTCTGAAATCATAGTTTTCCTCTCCTAGTTCTTAATAGACAATTATGTATTACTACTTTAGTACATTTTGGCGCTTGGAATTCGCGAAAGTCGCTGCGCAAAATACAATTTTAGGTAAGGGGCGAAGCGCGAAGTACCTTATGTTGCAAAAAACACGGATAATACTTACCAGGTCTTTGTACACGTACAGTAAGTACAGCGCGCTCTGGGGCCATGTTTTTAAAGTGCACGAGGTAGCAAGCCAGCATTGTCCCCGTACGCCCCCGGCCATGACGACAATGTATACCAATAACCTACAATACACTCTTTAATAACTTATTGTGTAAAGTAAACTTATACCTAATTTACGTGCCACTAACAAATATGGACTTATCGACATGACAGATTTTTGTGAGTTTTTATTTCGAACTTTCATCATTGGCGGTAAACAGAAAAATATTTTTAGCGCAAAAAGTAAACTCCTCATAACTCTAAAGATGAAATAATTTTCACATTTATAAACTAATAAAGAGTGATTTTAGATATAATCAATAAATAAATGCGTAAATAAATGAATTCTCTCTATTATTTGTTTGTTTATAATATTCCGACAATTGCATTTTTGCTCGTTACCGTTACGGAGATTTGAGTAAAAATAGATTACAGTATTTTCTTACCTCTCCATTAATTTCTGCTCTTTCACAAATTTCAATAAATTTAATAATTTGCTTTAAAGTAGGCGTTCCAAACTCTTTGATACCGATCTCCGTCCATTTCAATTTTCTGTCAAAATCGTAAATTGGCGGCAACTTTTCTGGTGACAGAGTAATCAAATGATTGATGCCAGAGTCAACTAGGTAATTTAAATTCTCTATGGTTTGCGGCCAGCCCATGGCTGCAACTTTTCCCTTCACAAACCATGAAAAATTATAAGGTGGATACGATTCACGCTCTTTCTTCTCTTCTGCGGGTTTTAGTTCTCTTATTTCTTCTGTCTCTTCTTTAACAGCTGTATCAGCATATTTGTAAAATAGTTTGGCAAGTTTTACATTCGTCCTTTTTGGTACGGTGCCCATCGTAACCTTTGTTGAATAGAATAAAGGAAATTAATGAAAATGGCCGATCTAATAAGAAAAGAATTAAAACGGATAATAATAAATATAAGCAGTGTCTTAGAATTTCAAAACGTATTCTATGTATAATTAAAAACATTCTTTTTTATTTAACATATAATTATAACTATGCAGCGTTATACCGAGAAATAAAATTCAGTTTCAAACCTACCTCAAAAATTGTTAATCCACCACTACAAAGTAATAAATTAATTCAGAGCACAAAAAATTGTCTAACGCGATTTGATGTGAAAATAAACAGAAAACCATAGACAAGCTAAAAACACAGGCGCGAAATTAATGGCGTTATTTTCGTTGCAACCTAGGTCGCCATCTCGCCGTTGACGTCACGCAGTAATCTGGAACTCTGCCAGGAGCCAGGAGTATTGGCAGAGGCAATTGGCATCGACAGATTTGTGTCACATGCTTTCACATGTGTAGTGTCAAGTACATTGTGCTGATTGAGGTGTAATTGTTGCTTATTATTTCACTTTCAACTAATCCTTAATTTATCATCCGTATTCACTTATTTATAGAACTATTTCTTAATACAAAACATTTCATGTATATAAAATAAAAATTTGTACGAAATATATTAAAAATAGAGCACCATTGGCTGCGTAATCCCATGACTCAAGCAATCAGTGGTCAGGGCTGCAGAGACAGAAATCTTCTCACGATGCGCGCGTTTTCTAGGATCCAACTGTTTAGCGAGAGCTTCTTGATATGTTGGTCGAAGTTCTTTGCTATTAGTCCATTCACCGATACGACTATCGGAACAATGGTAGTCGATTTCATACGTCACATTAATTTCACTTATTATAACAAGTTTTGTTACCTCGATGAATTAACTACTACATTTTGTTTTATTTTTGATTTCTACGGTTTTGGTGAAGTGGCAAGTGACATTGCGTATATGAGTACGCAAAAATAAAATAGAATTATGTAGTCTAAAATTAAACTTGAAACAGGAAGGCACAAATACGTCAACGGAGTTTAATTCAAGAAATTGTTTTTATTTATATTTTTTGTTATTTATATTTATCTCAGGAAACGGAAGATGACAATGTAGATAATATATTGTTGAGCAATCGTGTAAACTTGGCAAAGTCTCAATAAATCTTATAATTAATCACGATGCCAGCGTTTCTGTTTATAAAAGTTTTTTGTGCAATTTAAATCAGGAAATGCTCGTTAAAAAAGATTTATTTATGTTTCATCGTTTTTGTAGACTACAAACAATTGTATTTCCATCGTATGAAATAATCCTTTAGACGTCATTGGCAAGCCATTATTTAGGGTGAGTAGAATCGAATTTTATTAAGGAATTAAAGCTGTTATTGCTAGTTAATGTTAAATTGAAGTTAAGTTTTAAAAACATCGATAACTTTATTCCATCAGGTACAGTATTTTTTCAAATAGATTATAAATAAATCACAATACAGCATGATCACAGACAGATGGTGCTAGATTAGAGAATGCGCTTTGTGCTCTCTCTGGCTGCCTCAATAAACTCTTCCATCACCTCACCACTGACACCGAACCTCAATGGATTGTCTTCAGTTAGGTGCTCGAAGTATTTGTCAACCATTTCCTCTTGCTCCGGGAAATCCAAAGAGCCTGCAGAATACGTTACATGAGTGTTTATACTAGTGATCCATTGAAAATTACCACTTAAGAATCTCTGTACCAGTTAAAGTAGGGTCAAACTAGTAATAATTTAAATACTAAGAGACACCACTTAACAAAGCTGACTCCGGTAGTTAGAAGTTCAACTTAAATTGCCTGGTAAATGTTCCTGTAAAAATAACCTTGTCTCATCATCCGGATGACGTTGCACGCCTGGTCGGGCAGGAACCTGTGGAAGTGCACCAAGTAACAGGCCAGCATGACGCCGCAGCGACTGCGCCCTTGTCGGCAGTGTATGCCCATCACCTACAATCAAGTATCACATGACATTTTTACGAAAGGTTAAATATTTGGGGTTTCGTTATAATTGTCAAACCATCGAGCTTGTATTGATCAATAATTTGCCGTCATTCATTAACCATGGGTTTCTGAGACTTGGATTGAAAACATATTGTTATCTCTGTTTTGTAAAAGATAATGACAGTGATGACGATATGTAGCACAGATTTTCATCTCAGAAACCAACGGTAAGTCAAAATTAAAAAATGTTTACTTTAAGCCACTAATGTTTCCGTTGTAATTTTTACACAGATATGTTACACCTCTATAACCAAAAGATATTGATAACAGTGCCAAGATTCTAACTGAAAACTAGTAAAACTATATTACGACCGATGGCAAAGGGAATAAGCATCAAGAAAATTAATTTTGACTGAAAAGTTGATTTGACTGTTTCCACTTAATGGCCGTAACAAGTAAGACGAGGTTTTACAATCAAATTATTGTGTCACTCACCTCGCCATTTTTGTCCGCTCGTTTACAAACGTCAATGAACTTCTTTATTTGTTCTATTGTCGGTAATTCAAACTCTTCTATTGGTATCTCTGTCCACCTCAATCTGGCAATATCGTCTACGGGAGGTTTTTTCCCCGCTGTTAGTGTTACCAGATTCGTTATACCTTGATTGACGAGGAACTGCAAATTCTCTTTATTCCTTGGGAACGCCATAGCCGCCAACTTCTTAGGAATGACCCATGAAAATTTGAGAGGTGGGTACGCTTCTACTGCTATTTCTGGGAATGGATTTTCTGGTATTAAAACTGTTAGATCATTCCTTATTTCCTTTCTAGCGCCAGCTAAATGTCTATCTTCTTGTTCTGTTATATTTTCCATTCTCATATAAACTTGAAAACCATCGTCTGCCATATTGTCGAAATATTTTCCCGCGTCAACAAATGTCAAAGTGTACCTTTTTTTTCACAATATTTACGCTTTAACACTTTCGATTCTGACCATCGGGCACGGTTACCGCGTGTTGACTGACGCTACGCATCTAGGACGGGAACTTGGCACTGAAATCGTGATTCTGGAGAGGGTGTAATATTTATTTCTGGAGTCACAAACCTTGGTATAAACAATTGAAATAAACGCGAAAAAGAACTCTATTCCAACACCATAGAGTATAGATGTGTGACGTTTGTTATATTTATAATCTGTGGTCGTTTACCGCCGAAAGCGACAGGTGCATTAAAACATTGGCTTGTAATATTATAGAAGCGATTATTTTTCGCAAAGCAATCTATCTTTAGTTCATAAGATACGTACAGAATTAATCTATAAATATTCTTTATCGACATTAAATGTACACAAGTATATGTTTGACGAAAATATTGTATTTGGCACCAATTATATCTTATTTATTTTGTACTACATATAACGTGATATCTTATTAATACTATAAATGCAAATGTTTAACAGAAGAAATGTCCCAAAAAGGCTGCATGGATTTTGTAGAAATTTGGAAGAGCGAAGAACATAGCCTTGACGAACACATAGATTATTAATTTGTTTTTTTTTGTAATTCCGCACAGACGGAAGTTTTGCAAAATATTTGCCCCCCTGTATCCATAAAAAGCAACATCTTTATTTAACTTTGACAACGTACTAATAATATTACGTACACTTTTCAAATGTCATTGCCTTTGTTATGAAAATAACTTATCGTTCAACACCGGCCAAGGGATTTGAGTTCGATGTTCATTTACAAATATAGTTGTGAAAGAGTCGACGTAAATTACACATGGACTAACGTCAGACGTTATAAGTAACTAAGGAGGTCCTTAGTGTACATTTAGTATGGAAAATATCATCATCATCATCAGCTCACTATACGTCCCCACCGAGGGGCTCGGAGCGTACCCTAAGTTAAGGGTGATTAAGCCATAGTCAACCACGCTGGCCAAGTGCAGGTTGGTTGATTTCACACATATCTTTGAATTTCTTCTCAGATATGTGCAGGTTGCATCACGATGTTTTCCTTCACTGTAAGAACGTCGGATAAATGTACATATGTAAATCGGAAAATCGAAAAACACATTGGTTTCGAACCCACGACCTGCAAATTGCAAGTCAAGTGCTTGACCACTGAGCCACCGACATGGAAAATATACTAAGCGTCAAAGTCACAAACGGTACAGGAAACGTGTAACTCGTCATCTCACTTACGTAGGTTGGGCGTGCCAGTTTTCGTCCTCCAATTCAATCTATCTCTAGTCACAACAGAAAAACACCATTATTTTACCTGTATATACATCGTGCAAAATGAACATGAAAAAGAAAAATAAACACATAATATATTTACATATAAAATAAAAAATATTACTATTATTATCAATAAGAATATACTTTATTACAATGGAACACAAGAATAACTATAGAGTAAATATATAAACTATCTGAATCACCATTGATATAGCATTTCAAACATCTTGTCGGCTCAGAACATCGCGCGAGTCGCTGCAAAAAAAAATATTAAGTGTCACTGACCTCTATAAATGGACTGCCTATAAGATAGAGTATATTATGTCTGCTTTATTGTCTCGGCTTGTAGCGGTGTTGTTGATTCGAAGTAATATACATAGAATTAACTGTTACGTAACATCAATAGCAAAACTAGACAAAGTTTATTCAATCCGACGCGATTCTACTTCAGAAATGTACAGGACTGATACCTTCAATAAGTCACGTGATTGTCGCGCGTCAATACCATATAATATTGAAATTCGTTACGGAACGAATGAACTTTGTCTAGCCCCTAATTTAGTTTAAATCGGAACTAAACAAAAGTCGTTTCCAAACTGCCTATCCATTTATAGAAATAATATTTACATTCATATAGAAGACTATACCGCGCAGATGACTGAGCCGGAAACATATTTGAAATGATATTTACAAAACCAATCGGAATCCAAAAAAAAAAATCTTTTCCATAACAACAGGAACATGTAAACTCTAAGGCATCTTGTGATTTTTCATATTAAGTACATATCCGTATAAAAAAAGTGATAAAAAATACACAATAGAAATAAAGTGCTAACAATATCAACTAAGTATATAATAAAATAATACATATGAGTTCACTGCATTGCATACATATTGCCATCTCTTTCACACACTTTGAAATAAACAGAGACAGCATACACAAGCCTCACTGCAGTGAAATACATAAATTAAATCGTAATTTAAATCGAAATTGATTTTATATGCATACCCACAAATCTGGGGTTGTAAACATTTTTTGTAATAATCATTGCAAAAAAAGGCTAAGACGTTATAAAATATTTGTTTTTTTTTATCCAAAAACGATTTTTACTCATTTAAGAATACTTTCAAAAAATACTATAATATAAACTAAACAGTTTGGAATGTTTCGAATTAAATTAAAGTTTTTACTTGTTAAGATAATATTGTTGACGTACTAAGAGACTCTACATTTTTTTTAATTTATATAGAAATCTAAAAACCCATATAAATAAATTAAAATTACTGAAAGTTTAAAATTTACAATAAATTTACACATTAAAAGACATTTCATATTAATACAGTTCTGATTAAACAATTTAATATTTTTTTTATAAAATGTTATGAACCCCTGATATTTTATAATACAATGAAATAACCAGTTACAATTATATTTATATTAAAAAAGATATATTTAACATAGCTTTTTGATATGTATTCAAATAACTTACAAATTCATTAAATAGTCAAAATAAGAATATAAAAATCCTAACATGAGGGCGCTTTAATCGACAATTACGTAATTTTCTAACGTTTTTGAAGTAACTGGAACTATTTGTTACATATATTTCCGCTATATAGCGAGGTTTTTTATATTCGCGGTCAAACTTTACTCTTAAAATACTAAAATAATTAAATTAGGCTCGATAATACTTAATACCATGATCCAAATATAATAAACAGTTTTAAATATCTGATAAAACGACTTAATGTTGGTATAACCGATTTTGATTATTTACATTTTTTATCTCATTTTGTATTTCAAAAGGCACTGATGTAGGCCCCATTATTTTTTACGACTAAAAAAGTTAATATATAAATAATTAAATGCATGAAAAAACTGGGTTGGAATATTGAAATGCCTAAATATATAAAATTCTAGGCAATATTTATAAAGGAATGTAAATTTTTATCTTTCACTAATGGATGATGTTAGACCTCTTTTCCACTAGCGCTACACATATAAGCTATATGTTTCTAATGGCGCGACAACGAATTTAACAGTGGAAAAGGGATGTAAGAAGATATAAAAAACATTTTTATTCTATCGTTGATTTAACTTTAGTAGAAACATGATTGATAAATGATTTCTAATCAGCACCTTTAAAAAATTATAAAACTACTCGTGTAAAATAACGCGAAATGTGTTTGATGACGTCATAATTTCGTAGATGGCGAAGATGAAGTCGATGCAATACTTTTGTTATCGTACTCTTATCGTAATTTAGAATGCACTGCACTCTTGAAATCAAACATAAACACTGGTTTCCACTGAAAAACATATCTGTCTTGAAAATTTCAAAAAAGTTTTTCAAAAAAATTTTTTTTTTTAATTTTTTCGCCATTGGAAACGCACTGTAAATAATTCCTAAGCCTAAATATATTTGAAAAATCATTTTTTTTAAACATTAAAAACAATGCAGTTTAATACGCATAATTTTCGAGTACTTAACTATAACAATATGGATGGAATCCCTCGTACCTATAAACTAATTTATTGTCCAAATTGAAAAAAAAAAAACAATATTTTTTTTCACTAAATTAAGTCGATCTACAATTCATTTTAAATAATTTTTTTAATACTTTTAGGAATGTAATATAGGAAGTTGAAATATCAAATATAAATACTATTTAAGATTTACGAAAAATGAAAAAAAAAATTAAAAAAAAAATCGAAACTGTCCAATTTAACGAACTTTATCCCTAATATCTTTTATAATGAAATTAAGTAACAATGAAAGTGTTATGCAATAAATGAGCAGTTTTTGTCAAACATTTGTCCAACATTTGATCAAACATTGAAGACAAATATTTGTTATTGGTCCAAATATAACCAACAAATACATTTCAGCAATTTCTATATATCATTATATTATTTATGGTTTTTATGTAAAAAGAAATTCTAAAAGTACACTTTCATTGCACTCACAACATACATAATACATATTGTGTATATAACAACTATTATGTAATATATAATTGAGCCAATTACAACAGTTTTAGGCACTTTCTATTAGAAAAACTACAATACTCAGAGACATTAAATGATCACTAAAAGCCATCCTTAGTAATAATTTAACTTGTAATCGTTAAATTACTGACTCTAGTAGTTATTACTTTTTATTTTTTATTGAATTTTATTTAATGTAAATTTTATAGTATGTTCCAAATTATATTTTCATAGTAAAGAGGCGTCCATAAATTACGTGAGGTGTTTTTTTTTATTTTCTGCCCCTAGCTCCCCTCCTGGTGAGATGTCGTGAGATTTTATTCAACCCCCTACCCCATCCCCCAACGTTTCCAATAATAATCCAACGCGTTTATGTTTCTTACGTAAACGCGTTGGATTATTATTGGAAAAAGAAAAAAAAATGCTTCGTGCTTTTGATTTTTTTTTGTTTCCATCAGAAAAAAATGCGTGATATTTGTCGAGATTCTCTCCAACGTAAGATTAGATGAGATTTGACTCGACCCCCCCCCCCTTAAACAACTCACGTTATTTATGGACGCCCCCTAAACATAGTGTTCTTAAGTTTTTTTTAAAGATTATATATCTTATTTATATATCTATGTTATGTTAAAGTCAATTCACATGATGCTAGGAAAAAATCTAGAATTTTTATTTCATAATTTAATAAAAAAAAATCCCAACTATAGAAGGCACTACAGAATATTGTCTTTTTAGTTTAAAATAGGGGTCAATAATTTATATTTTCAAGTATTTTTTTCAATATCTTTCGATATTAATTTAGAGTTTATTTTAAAATTACCTAATCTATTTGAAGATTATATTTATATAGCTAGGCCATAGACAACCACGCCGGCCAAGTGCGGGTTGACTTCACACATATCTTTGATCTTCTCATATCTGTGCAGCATCACAATGTTTTCCTTCACCGTAAGAACGTCGGATAAATGTACATATGTAAATGGAAAATCGAAAAACACATTGGTACATGGCGAGATTCGAACCCAGGACCTGCAGATTGCAAGTCAAGTGCTTAACCACTGAGCCACCGACGCTCCGACGCTTACTTTAGTTAAAGTTACAAAATTATATTTTATGACCCCTAAGATTTTAAACTATAGAAAATTTATGAATTGTATAATTTAAAAAAAATGTGAATTAACTTTAAAATGTTCTAAGAAATAATTGCTTTTATTATTGCTAACTTATGATCGATATTGTGACGTAACGATATATACTATTTTGACACGTATCTATATGTAATTAAAGCGTATAATCGTCTATCAACACGCCAATTATAAATGGAATGGTCACTGCACTGCACTAAGGAATGTCTTGCGATTTTGTGACCAATTGCTAAGAGATTATGGTTTAAAATCACTTGATTTAAAATCACACCGCATCGTAGTAACTATGGAGGACCTTTCTTTATGCGATTTTAGGCTTTATTGCTTGTGAATTTTGGTTTAAAATCGCTTGATTTAAAACCACACCGCAGCGTAGTACTATGGAATGCCTGCATGCGATTTTGGTCTTAATTGTTTAGACTATTTTGGTTTAAAATCGCTTTCTTTTTAGTTTTATGTCTTTCTGTGATTCTAAGTCTTATTGTTTATACTTGTTGGTTTAAAATCGCTTGCATTGAGCTTTCTTTATGCGATTTTAGGCTTTATGCCTTTGACTTTTGGGTTAAAATAGTTTTTTTACTAAAATTACACCCCATCGTAGTTCTATGGAATGCCTTCATTCGATTTTGGTCTTAATTGTCTAGAAATTTTAGTTTATAATCGCTTGTGTTCTAAGAATCACTGCTGCGTAAGTATTGTCTTTATACAATTTGGTTATATTGGTCTAAAATCATCTTCCTTTGATTTTAGACCTTATTGCTTTGATTTTATAGTATAAAATTGCTTGCATTTTTCTGTAGTAATGTCTTTATGATTTTAAACCTTATTCCTTAGTTGTTTTGGTCTAAAATCGCTTGTATCCTCGCGCGTCGATACCTATCAAGTATATACTAAAGGTGCAGAACTTGGCCGTCGTCTTTAACGGGGATATGAAATGCGGAAGGTTCAGTGTTCTGGTCCTCCAAGGTCACAGCGGTCAGGTCCACTATCTCATCCTGTTCATCTTGATCGAATCTGGAATAATAATAAAAAAATGTTTTTAATTATTTGTCATTTTTTTAAAGGATTCAAAAGTTTCAAATTTTTTATCTACGATAATTCTTTAGATTTATAAAATAGCAACACTTAAAATATTGAACTCCATCAAACGTAATTTGGTACAGTTATGTCAAAAGTCATGTAAAAAAAATATATTTGACAGAAATTCAACAAATGTCAAAAAGCGTCAAAAAACCAGTTTGACAAAGTTTGATCGTTTATTTAGTTATATTTGATTTAATGTTGTTAGTATTGTGTTGTACGCGTGTACGACGCGGTAATGTACCACCGTACCTGTCATCATCAGGTTCGCTGGATGGCTGGGAGTGGCGGGACACTGTCTCGGGTGGAGGTGGACCGGCGCGCTGGTTTGCTGGACGGACTGTTATTATCAGGTTTGAAGAGTTAGCCACCATCATATCTGTCACCTGAAAAGAAATATTTATATAGAAAAATAATCATACTTCGTACGTATGTATTTGCGTTGCTTATAACGAAAAAGTAATTTTGAAAATGTTGTCTGTCTGTCTGTAGGCAAAACCTCGTTTGTTCCGAGTAATCTCGAGAACAGCTGGACCGATTTTGACGGGTTTTGAGAGAAAGATTACTTAGTTTTTCTTTTTTGACGCTGACAAAGTCGCGGGCGACCTTTAGTATTCGATAAAAACTTTAAAAACAAAAGTGTAATTTAAAAACAGCTTTACCACCGAAACAATAAAGAAACAATTTCGACTAGAAGTTGACAGATTTCCCATTTTTTGTCTAACATAGAAAAAGTCCTTTTCCACTAAACGACAGATTCAAGCTAGTTGAAAAAGGGGTGTAACTAACCTGATCCAATGTCTTGTTAGAGACATCGATTCCGTTAACTTCTAGCACCTCGTCGTTGACGCCCAGCAGTCCGGTTGACTCCGCGAGTCCGCCGGGCACTAGCCGCGATATGAAGATGCCGGGGGAGCGCTCCACACCGTTCGGTGTTACACGCACTGATGTACCGTCTCTGTTATGTACAACACAATTAAATTGACGAATCATATTATTAATATAACTAGCTGTCGCCCGCGACTACGTCCGCGTGGGATTAAAAATAAATGTTGGCCGATTCTCATACCTACTCAATATGCTCTCAAAATTTCATGAAAATCGGTCAAGCCGTTTCGAAGAAATATGGGAACGAAAATTGTGACAGGAGAATTTTATATAAAAGATTATATTTCGCTAGTATATAGTAGTTGTATATAGTGTTGATAGATGGATGGATGTTTGTTTGACGGATCTCGATGAAATCTGGCACAGATGTAGAACATAGTCTGAAAGAACACATTGGCTACTTATTAGTTTTTTTATAATATTTCCTCGTCGACAGAGTCACGGGCGATAGCTAGTATTTACAAATAAAACAATAAGAATACCTTATAAAAAATCCCAAGGGTCTGTCAGAGCCGTGTTTAAGGAGTTTCACTCTTCTACATGTCTCTGGTACAATGTCTACATCTATGATTGCTGATACCTGGAAGGAAAAAAATGATTACTATCTTACTAATACATATTATAAATGGATGGACGGATGAATTTTTTTTCAGAGGGGAATGCTTTATGCATACTCCGCGCCCCGGGGGGGACGCGGTAGTTATGTGGGATTCTCCTCCATTGCGGAGGCATACCCACTAAACCCCTCTGTTCCTCCAACGCATCGGGACGGGACCACGGGCACGCTTTCGCTCTCGTCCGCGGCCCCGTCTGCGCCAGCTGCCGAGGCAGCTCCCTCTCGGGGATAGAAGGTATCTGCAGAACTGCTGCATGGATCTCGTTGAAAACGGAGAAACCTCACGGACGGTGTCGCGGGCGACAGGTAGTAAATAGATTATTTTTTATTAAAAATAGGTTAATGCACTTCTTCTCATCCATTCTCGCAATTTATTTAAATAGTACAAAATTTTCGCCTCACTTAATCTTATTAAACTTGTAAATGCGAATATTTGAATATAAGGATGGATAGGTGTTTGAAAAAAGGTTTCTTCTGACCGGATCAACAGATCTTCCTGACATTTGAAGCCTAGAAAAACACATGGCTACTAAATTAAGTTTTTTTTTAAATTCCACGAGTGAATTGCTGGCCACAGTTAGTAATAATGGATTTCTTTGTTACCATTCTAAAATCGTGTGGATTAGATATAGCCAGTCCTTTATTCTTCGCTGGAGTACCGCTCAGGATGGACGAGATTATGTTCCTAGGCCGCATTGTACCATAGCCATTGAGTTCTTCAAGACTGTCACCTGAAAAGAAAAAAAGAATTAAGTTAAGTCCTAAAATTTGTACTTTTTATTTATGGTAACATGACCCTAAACAGTGATGTAAGGTCTAAAACTCGTCATAGCAACATAATTAAGCAATAAGTCATTATGCTTTGGTGGGTCGGAAATTAATTTCTTTGACAACGATTCGAAAAAAAAACTGAATCATCAGCTCACTGAAGTCCACACTGAGTGGCTCGGAGCCTACCCAAGTTAGCAACTAGGCCAGAGTGAACCATGCTGGCCAGTGCGGTTTGATTTCACACATATCTTTGAATTTCTTCTCAGATATGTGCAGGTTGCATCACAATGTTTTCCTTCACAGAAAGAACGTGCGATAAATATACATATGTAAATTGAAAAACACATTGGTACATAGCGGGATTCGAACTCAGGACCTGTAAATTACAAGTCAAGTGCCTAACCCCTGAGCCACGGACACTCTAGTATTATATGTTATTTTATTTTTTGTTGCCAGAAAAAAGTCTAGAAAAAGTCCTTGACCATTGTGAAGTAAAGTATCTACTATTCCAATGTCCAACAAAGAACGGAAGTCAATAGTTAAGGCAATTTAACAAATACTTTGACCTCGTTAACTAAGCAATTAGTTTAACTATTCAATTGAGTCAAAGTATAGTTTTAACAAGAAAATGTTTTTCTCACGTCAAGAAAAAATGTGGCTTTGAGAAAAAAAGGTTACATCTCTTATGAAACCTCATAACTGAAGTAACATTTTTCATCAATATAAGTCTGTAAAAAGCATTATAAGGCTGACTAAATAATCATCTATCTACTCATGAAGTGTAAGTCTCAATAATTTCATCATCAGCTCACTATACGTCCCCACCGAGGGGCTCGGAGCCTATCCTAATTAAGGTTGATTATGTCATAGTCAACCACTCTGGCCAAGTGCGGGTTGACTTCACATATATCTTTGAATGTCTTCTCAGATATGTGCAGGTTGCATCACGATGTTTTCCTTCACCGTAAAAACGTCGGATAAATGTACATATGTAAATCGGAAATCTAAAAACACACTGGTACATCACGGGATTCGAACTCAGGACCTGCAGATAGTAAGTCAAGTGCTTGACCCCTGATCCACCGACGACCTACGACGCAATAATTTAATAAAAAAAAAATTAAAAAGTTCCTTCTTGACAACAAGCGTACCCTCTATACAAACAAGGTCAATTTTTTTACCCACTGCTGGGCAAAAAGGCAAACTCTTTAATATGTTAGGAACCAATACTGTTACATTTACCTTTTTTGTAATAGTCCATAGAATAATGTCAAGTAATATATATGACCATGAAGACAGTCGACCATAAATGGGTATTTACCCTGACCACCTTGATATATACCAGATGTTTATATTTGTCATAGATTATACATAAATCTTATTACGGTGAGTTTCTAAGACAAAAATATCTGTATAAAATAGTCATCCCTATTTTTTTTCAGAGGGGAATGCTTTATGCATACTCCGCGCCCCAGGGGGGGGGGACGCGGTAGTTATGTGGGATTCTCCTCCATAGCGGAGGCATACCCACTAAACCCCTCTGTTCCTCCAACGCATCAGGACGGGACCACGGGCACGCTGTCCCTCTCGTCCGCAGCCCAAAAAAAATAGTCATCCCTGTCATGGTCGTAATCTTTGACAAAACAAATATAACGATATCTTACTAATATTATAAATGCAAATGTTTAAATGGATGTTTATTAGAAGGTATCTCGATGATGAAAAAAAAACTTAATAGCCTTTGATTCTTCCAGACTATGTTCTACATCCATGCTAAATTTGGAGATACGTTAAGCCGTTCTGGAGATACCTTCTAATAAACATCCTTCTAAACATTCGCATTTATAATATTAGTAAGATAAGAAGAAAGATTTAATTCAAACGCTTGTACTAAAAATAACGCGAGCTCTTCAGAGATTCAACACTAGGGTACTTTTATTAAGGTCAAGCATATGGGTCAAGAAATCTCACATATTTTTTTTCTCTTCATAACATTTTCCCTAGCTCTTAACGCTTTAATAGGTAAAATAATCGACAAATTAGATTTTTATACTGTATTTCATGTTCATATGACTGGATATAAAGAATTAGTGTGTAGTCACCTTTATTCCATGCATTTCAAATATCATAGAAATTCTATACAGATGACGTCACATCATAAGCCTACACCTGCGTGAAATCTGAACAAAGAGCGTACCATTGAGGGCAACCTTCCTAATACAGCTGGAGTTACCTAGACTCTATTTCCACTAAGCAATTAGTCGCACGAAAAGACGGAAATACTCGAAATTTGCTTGCAATTGCTTATGTTTATGGGCAACGGTCACTTCGCTATTTCAGCGATTTAAGGTGGCCGCTCTTTAGTTTGCCACCTTATTATAAAAAAAAAGTAGCTTACGGCTGGTCGCTGATGGAAATGGGTTCTAATCTAGACATTCTGTATAAACGTTTAATCGATCAATTTAATTGAAATTTTACTAGATGTCGCTCGCGACTCCGTCTGCGCGGAATTAAAATCTGGAGATACCTTTAAACAAACATCCATCCAAAACATTCGCATTTATAATATTAGTAAGATTTTTGTGGATCGCGTCGTCAAGCCACTTGTCAAAATATTAACGCCTCTATCCCGGACGGATGTAGTCAGTGAATTCAAATTATCATATCTTTTACTTAATAAAACCGTGTTTTTTATATTCGTAAGATTTCCAATGCTGTCTGAAACATGTTGCCATCTCTTTAATTCTTTCTCCAAAAAGCGAGATAACATTATGTTTTTGTTTGAGTACATTGACAGTGGAAACACGGTCACATGCACCGGTCCGTCATAGTCCGCTAACTACGAGTTAAAATTAACTGTACGTATCCACTGTGAATGTGCTTTATTATAATTAAAAAGTTTTTATCTGCACAATTACTACTAGATTGAAATGGTTGGCAATTATTATCGCGAATGTATATTACGTACAATTTCAATCCAGTTTCTTTCGTATTTAAATTAAGCTATATTTATAAAAAAAAGTTAAAAAAATAATACATATCACAACCATTGTATAAAAAACAATAGACAAACAAAAAAAGTTTGCTATTGACAGCCAGCAAACCAGCCAGTATCCAATGCTTTAAAAAAAAAATCACTACGTAAAAACATTTTACTATTGGCTTATATCAAGACCATACAAGGCAACGTAAGCCTTATGTCATAACAATGACATATAATTGAATATGGGATGTCTCGTATTCTATGCTAATTCGCCTCGTTATGGATGACGAGCGTAAATAAAAAAAAAGACAGGACATCAGTTACTATTTGTAGTCAAAGAAACTCAGGGCAATTGGCGGTTTTCCACTTACAAAAAAATTGCCTTGTACCTTGCAATGAGACGAATTCTACACTTCTTACTAATATTATAAATGTGTATGTTTAGATGGATGGATGTTTGTTTGAAGGTATCTCCAGAACTGCTGAACGGATCTCGATGAAGTTTGGCACACATATAGAACACTTGCGGGGTTTTGGGGCGACAGCTTGTAAATTATATATGTAAAGTTAAAAGTTACGTATATAAGCAATAAGTTGCACAGACGACGTGATAATAATTACGTAATTAGTAGTATACCAATGATTGACATTTTTCTTACAACACAAATAAAATCTGAGTCCTATTCAATCAATCAAAATCAAAGTCAATGCTTATGAAACACGAAAAACTATACCTTTGAAATTCGAACACCGTCAATTTTCCCGATAGTACATCACAAAAATAAAGAACGTTATCCTTCCCTTAGTATTACATACCTTTCCTCTGTATAATGACCCTGAGGAGCGGCCTCGCAGTAAGCAGCGCTCTGGCCAGGTTATCATCATTGTTGATCGGCAACAGATCACCATCTCTAGGATCCGTGTAGGAGATGAGAAAGGCAACATCATGTAGACGATGCAACTTCTCTATCAGGCCTTTGAAGTCCTCATATTTCAACTTCTCCGTACGACTCAGAGCGAAGCGACGGAACTCCGCATCGAACTGTGGATACAAAGGGGAGGAAATTATAAAGATGACTTTCTGTGGGTTACTGATACTAAAATTCCCGTTTAAAACATATCTCTGTTTTGTCAGAGATGACTCAGAAACCAACGGTTATTAGATTATTTTCAATCGTAGTTGTAATGTTTTAAAACTTGCTTTTCAAATTATAAAAGCAAAAAAAAAACAATGTCATAGAAAATTTTGGCAGAAAATTTGCGAACCTTTGTCCTACATTATAAAAACGTACAACAATAATAAAGAAAACAAAAATCAGTTCCAAGGTCATTTATTTTTTTATTCCTCCGCAGAATGTCATTTAGTCAATTATTATTTTTAAGGTTAACTAATTCTTGTCTTAGATCTTTGATTAAAAACATAAAAGTGTGTAATATAAATTCACTAACTAGTATTCACTGAAACTCGGAATTATTAAAACGTTTGATCGTAATTTATCTTATCACTATTAGCTTACGAGATAATGTATTAGATCTTGAGTTAAACCAAATCAAATAGAACGTTAACCGTAGATTATAAACCAAAAACAGCACTTAAAAAATCAGTAAAAAACAAAAGAATTCTCTGCCGAAACACTTATATTATAACAAACTATTTTCTCTTGTTTTTCGAAGTTAAGGACATGTTTTTTAACCAACTCATTTTTACATCTATTTATTCACTACAACTGTTACTGTGATAAAAAAACGTCGTTTCTCTTAAAAAAAAAAGCATAAAAAATAAATTCTTTAACATTTCAATTATAAAATAATATTGATTCTTTAAAATAAATAACTAATTGAAAAAAAATGTATCCGAAGCCAAGTTTTCAATATTCTTAAAACAATAACTCAATATAAATAAAACAAATATAACAAACAATAAAGGGCCATTCAAACGAACGCAAAACTTTCAAGAATACGTCTTACGTCAGAGTACAAAAACAATTGCAAGAATTGTGATAATGTTCACAAAAGTGTATATAATTTTAATGAGATGAATTCGAACTTAATTAAAGTTCTTTGTGTGAAATTAGACGCCGAAAATCATGTGTGTTACGTGAGAAATGTCATTACACTAATCAACATCAGCTCACTATACACCCCCACTGAGTGGAACGGAGCCTACCAAAAGTCAGTGTCCAGACCATAGTCAACCATGTTGGCACAGTGCAGACTTCACATATATCTTAGAATTTCATCACAGATACGGCTGCATGGACCTTACTGAAATTTGGCATAGCATGTTAGTCTGGTAGAACACATATGCTACTAACAATTTTTTTTAATTCCCCGCAGATAATGGTTGACAGCTAGTTAAGTGATAATTTGACCAAGTAAATTAATTCATTTTAAAAACTATCGTTTTTAAATGAATCACTAAAACCACAACTATGTTAACACAAAAAATGTGGTATAACATACTATTGTTCTAACTTAGGACAAAGACCTTTTTCATTATATTAAAGATTTTTTTTACACTACAAATGTACTTTGACTATGCACTACACAATTACAATAATCAATGTCAATATTGAGATGTAAACTTGACCCGATCAAATTACGAATAGTTACGAAAAATTAAACATTAGGTTGCAACCTGCGGCTACAAACTCAAAGGTGTGCATAGTCAACTAATCTGTACTAGCCCATCATAGTCACCCCTAAAATAAGGTATGCTTGAGCCCTTCGGTATCCCATATATGTGAATTTGTAAGAAGTTCCAGTGTGATTGTAAATTACTGAACATACTTTTATGAGTTATGTCATTTTTTTTATATCATAGCTGAAATAGCGACGTAAACGTTGCCCATAGACATACTCAATTGCATATACGTTGCTTACCTTCAATCACTGGAGGAGACGATGCACAGAAAAGAAATATTTTCCCTTTCCATGCATCCCCTCATCCGGAAAGTCCACTTCCACTTCCCATCCTTTCCTTATAAGAAAAAGGGTGGGAAGGGAATGAGGACTAAACTAGGCCTCTGGGACGCACCCTCCTCAGATAAAACGCGGAATTGCTTCCACTTGACGCCAGTCTTCTGTGTGGTTGTAGTATTTCACCGGGCGAGCCAGGCCAAATTGTTCAAAGATGTTAAAGCGGGCTCTACCACTGTTGAATTTGTATTCTATTTCATTATTGTTCCCTGAGTTATATAATTAGTTAAATCTTTATGCTTTTTAATTACCAAAAAGTTATTTAACATCTTCCCACTTTCTAACAGCAGTATTTGTATCCATAGATTAGTATTATCATTTTATTACAATGTTAGTATTTGTATCCATAGATTAGTATTATCATTTTATTACAATGTTATTATTTTGTTTTTTATTACATTGCCATTGTTATATTGTTTATTGTATTCAGTATTACATTTAGGTGTTGTATCATTGTATTGTCACATACAGTTTAAACATAACATTAAGATAGATAACAAAGTTCTAGAGTAATAGTATATATCAAAAAAGGAGTAGTCAGCAGTGGAATTATACATTAATATAGGACAACTCATGTTTCGGATGAAAGAAAATTGTACATAGCTATCAAAGTGTTAGATGGATTGTATGAAAGTGGATATGCGTAAGACAGGAGTGAATACACAGTAAAATCTTGTAAGGGACTGTATGAATCATTATCAGTGTGGTCATTAAAAGGTTAGAAACCCATGAATGAATGATTCACTATTTACATCAAAATGATTCAGGAGTTACTAGTAGGTCAAGGCATTAATTCATCAAAATATATAATTAATATGCATCATCTCTTATCTCTTTCTTACTCATATCATAAATGCGAAAGATTGAATAGATGGATTTTTGTTATAATGTAATTCTACTGCTGAACCAATTTGGACAAAAATTGGAACAGATAAGTTACTACTCGGAACAGAGCATAGATAAGTAATTAAGTTGTTTTAATATCACACAAACCCAGTTAAAGGCAACACCTAATATTAACATAAAATGGTAGTTGAAAGCTTAATTTCTACTTACATATTTTATACCTGTACACAACTACTGAATAGTCTGCAATGAATTTGTGATGGGCAAGTAACAAGTAAATATTAAACTATTTGTTAATTAAAAAAGTAAGAAACTCATCTGACTGTACTCTCTCACACTCCAGAAAATGTAACCTGAGTAAGTCAGTTAAAGAGACCTTCTTGTCTACATATGTTGGTTAATTGTAGAAAACTTGTTCTTTAACACATTAGTAGATAATTTTATTTGTATCTATGAGACATATTTCCATAAGAAAGACTAAGAATTCAAGATCTAGGTTTAAATTACACCAAGTTAAGGTATTTGGTCAGCAACCAAACACTTTAAACGGCATTTTTTATGGTTGTGATGAATTCAGTGAGTAAAAATAAGACGTGTTCAATAAAATGCAAACTTTTCTCATAAATAGAATATATAAATTAGAAATTTAGTCCTACATACCTTAGTTTTAACTTCTACACTTTGGCTGTCAATACGAGCAGCTATTTTATTCTTCGACATCTCGAAAGCATTTAATACACTTATGCTTAATCTTAAAACTTATTTCAAAACATTTAGGCACTTAATTTGCTACAAAACATTGTAAAATATAAAAAGTTTTTTAAATAATTTAGGCTGTTCCTCACACTCGTAACTCTCGCGTCGTAATTTCAATAGATACTGTTTCGTTTACAAATATTTTACAGTATTAGTAATTATCCACCAATCATATTACAGGATAAAAGTTAATCTGCTTTTTAATAGGTTCTCTGTGTACGCCGATGAAAACGCATAATTTGACGTTCCGTGGCACAAGATTTTTGGCTGTCATCACTTTTTAGCTAAATAAAAAATCCGACCCATGTAGAGCGAAGGATTGGTAGTAAAGTAATATAAACCACTTTAATTTGTTTTACAAGTTTTAAGACGAATTTACAAAAGAATAGTTTAATAAACAACAAAAAAAAAACAAAACAGAAAAAAATGCTACGGCAAGTTCGCCAGTTCTATCATCATCAATTATGAGTATGACATTGACAATCAACATTCAACAAGTAATGTGATTGTAAAAGTATGAAAAGTTGTAAAAAAATAACAAAACAATAAAATATTACTTAAAAATGAAGTTAAATAATTTGGAGGCTGCCGCCCGGCTGAATCCATGTTTGAAGGTTATGATTAATGCCATACAAACTTCAGGATTTCGCTAATAATTTCTGTGTATTTTTCATTATATAATTTATTCAATTTAGGAGCAAAATCAATCTTACGAGTGCTTAAACAAGAATGGATACAACCAGGAAAAATGTGAAGCTTATTTCGATAACTATAACACTTGCAAAAAGTTTTGGGTAAGGACACATCAAATTAATATCTACTAATCATTACTGTAGTCACCAACCCTCACGGTGTCAGTGTGACTAAGACCTAGACCTAACCTAGGGTAGGCTATATCTTGGTACAGATGTATATGAACTGATCATTTCATTTTTTTTTCATTTTCAGAATCAAGTTTCTAAAGACAGAAGAGCAAGGGGAATAAAACCACATTTACCAGATTTGGAAGAAAGGGAAAAAGTAAAAGAAGAATATATCAAAGCTTGGGGGAATTAATACCATTGTCATTTAAAAATACACATGGACAAATAGCACTTTATAAAATTAAGTCTGTAAGCAATTGTAATAAAACTATAAATTATTAATTGCCTAATAAGCATATTGCATTTTATTCAAACTAAACCACTCATTTATGAATATTGTTGAAACTCCTATGTTTCATAAATATTTCCAGGTCTAAAAATCTACATGTAAACATATAAAGTTATTTTTAAACTAGTGTTATAATTTGATACTATTTTAATTTACTTTGCAATATGTTGGGTTATTTTTTTTGCAGACGGGGCCGCGGATGAGAGTGAAAGTGTGCCCGTGGTCCTGTCCCGATGCATTGGAGGAACAGAGGTTTAGTGGGTATGCTTCCGCTATGGAGGAGAATCCCACATAACTACCGCATGCCTCTCGGGGCGCGGAGTATACATAAAGCATTCGTCTCTGGAAAAAAAGGGTTGTTATTTTATAGTTTTTTTATGGACGATGCTGTGCAATCCTCTTTCACACCTAGAACGGTGGCCAGTGCGGTTTTCTGTGTATATAATTATTATTATTCTAAACCTTTACAAATAAATTTATTTTATACTATAAATACATTGTCTTGGTTTTAACAATAAGTGTACTGCAATATTTTCTTGCTATTAGAAGTTCGGGGGAGGACTATTCTAGCAGTGGGCATCATATGGCTGGAGGGAAAGAGACAGAGAGGTTTCTCTGTTACGGAGGTCATCTGTTGGGACTGGACAATGCTTATACATGTTTGACTGTAATAAAAAAATAAAACAAATAGATTAAATAAAATTTTATTTTGTGTTACAGTAATGTGTTCTCAAGCCAAATCATGTTTAGCGTCTTATCACTAGAGGGCTGCAATCTTAAAGGCATATAACCTACAACAATTATGTACTTTTTTATTTGCATTATGTAAAATGATTTATGACTTACAGATTAAAAATCTTTGGATATATTAAAGAATATTATTAATTGATTTACTTGATAGTTAAAAATAATATTGGTTATTAATATTGTTCATGATAACAAAAACAAGTAAAAAATAATTATAATAAGAAATAGGAGCTAATATATTCAGGCACTTCAATTTGTACCATTTTCAGTTTAAAGTAAATTAGCACTATTTGGAAATGGCGATATAAGATTTTTAGTATTAATAAACAAAAACCAAAGTATATTAACTCTTTAATAAAAGAGATTCATGCGAATGCGATGCGTCGGTGATTCAGGAGTCAAGCACTTAACTTGCAATCTGCAGGTCCTGGGTTCGAATCCCGACATGCACCAATGTGTTTATCGATTTCCGATTTACATATGAACATTTATCCGACGTTCTTACGGTGAAGGAAAACATCGTGATGCTGCACATATCTGAGAAGACATTCAAAGATATGTGTGAAGTCAACCAACCTGCACTTGGCCAGCGTGGTTGACTATGGCCTAATCACTCTTAACTTAAGGGTAGGCTCCGAGCCACTCAGTGGGCGTCGACGTATAGCGAGCTGATAATGATGCGAATGTGTTACATTTATACAGCCATTCAAATAAAAATATGAAATAAAAAAAATGTCAGCTTTTCACTATAACAAAACTTGAATCCGATGACGTCATATTTTTACAATGCCCAATACTTCATAGAGGTATTCAATTATATATTCGCGTAGTAATTTTCACATAGAAATTATTCTAAGAATTAAATATATATTAAAATTGATATAAACTTAATTTTACAAAGTTATAAGTTATACATAAATAGTGTTAGCGATGTCCTTGAGTTTGTAGTCAAAGTTCTTGTGTTGTCATCTCTTTCATACTCTTTTATAAAACAGAGATAGCAATATACTTTTTTACATGACCTTTGATAATGAATACACATAGTATGTTAATTGATCATTAAAATGTATATTTAGATCCATTGGTATTGTTAATCCAATGTAGGAATTCGTGAAGGCGTAACTGGGGAATTAACACCTAGAGAATAAAAAAAAATGCGTAAACTACTGAGAAATTCTAAGATAACTATAGAACCACGTTGGTAACTCAAAAACTACTTGTTAGTTTTTAATAAAAAAAAATTGGTATACGTAATTCTAACCATTTCTTTTGGAATAAAAAAAACATAATCGAATGTATAATCTGTACTATTATATTACTTAAAAAATAACTTAAAATACTTGTAATTAAATAAAAAAAAAACTTTTTAATACACTTATTAAAAAAAAAATTAAGAATGAAAAATCAGTTTTTAATTAGAATTAATAGTTAATTCTTTCATACCTTTGGACCTAAATACATATTTTATTACTAAATTATCTAAATAAATAGCCGTATTAAAAATATGTCGAAATACAACAAATAAAGTTTATTAAAAAGCGGTGGATAGGAATTATATAAAACTTATGATACATGATTTATATAGATTAAATAAAGTCAAAATTAAAAATATATAAATATAGGCATTATCTTTGTTGATGTCCAGTGGAAACCAACATTTAGAGGTACACGCTAAACTCTCATCATATTAATTACAAATATCGTAAAATCTTAATATAAATATTATACTTTAGTTATAATTTAACTTACCTACGTATAACGTAGTGTAGTGGTTCAGTGGTTAAGCACTTATCTGCAGGTCATGGGTTCGATTCCCACATTATGTCATTGTTTTTAGATTTACATATGTACATTTATCCGATGTTGTTACGGTGAAGGAAAACGTGATGCTGCACATATCTGAGATCAAAGATATGTGTGAAGTCAACCCGCACTGGGGCCTACTGATTTAGTGTAGGCTCCGAGCTCCTCAGTGGGTATTTATAGTGAGTTGATTTAAAATTTAATACTTTATTAATTTTTCTTATATATAAGCGTGATAAAGCATATTATATATATATTTTATTTCTAACACAACCTTGATTTTAGCGCGTACCTCTATAAAAATTATATGAGTAAAATTAAAATTATAAAAAAGGACAATGCGTGCCGTAAACACTCAAAAATATCATGTACATGGAAATTAAAAAGAAAACGGTAAAAAAAAACAAATTCATAAAAATTATTCAAGATGGCGACGATCTGTCATTTTATCTGTTAAAAATCGTGAAATTACCGTTTTTTTTTGGATTTTTTTTTAATTTCGTTACACTCATGTACAGAATTATTTGTATATAACACAACATAACATAAAGATGTACAATTTAACATTTTAATAGAGGTAAATAAGATTTCTCTAACCTCTATTTTATTTATTGTTAATTTGTACACATTGTATGTAACACCGTGAACATAAGATAAGTTGAAAAATGCTTTTTTTTAAATATGAGAAATTTACTAAGAAAAATATATTAAACCTTTTCTGGTCCTTCGAGCACAAAGTCTGACATATTAAGACATATATACATACTAAAACATATAAAATTAATGTTATAATTGTATGACAATTTGATATCTTTTTCTAAATCAAAATTTGTTCTAATAATATTTTTACTGCGTAAAAACTATCGTATCAAATATACATTCATATGTTATATGTTTAGTATTATGTTAAATGTTTTACCGTGGGTTTCCGAGACCAAAATCTCCATTTAAAATATATCGTTATCTCTATTTTATTAAAGATAATGACAGGGATGACGATATGTTTATACAGAGATTATTGTCTCAAAACCCAACTGTTAGATTATTGATGTTGATGTTATGTCAGAAAGCTATCATAGTATATTTTTCAAGATCAACAAATTTAACTGACCCGGCAAATTACAAAAGCACTTTACCGCATGTAAATGTCATTTTTATGTCTATGTACATTTACATATTTTTTTACAAGTAACTACGATAGTAGCGCCTCTCACCGGGCCATAGTATGTCAGACTATAGTTTGGATTGTGCCGACCGGGTCAGATAAGTTGTTCTTACTATAGCATATGCAGTTATGTCACGGTGTATATGTCATGTCATCTTAGCACGCATTGTCATCTAAGAGTCAATCTGAGCGTTGCTTTATATGGAAACAGCTTATTCTGAAGTGGTCGCACATTTGGCGTACCTGGAAAGAAAAAAAAATGTTTTTTTTTTATATTTCTATATTGTGGGAAGTAATGTGGCAATCTTAATTCGCCGAAATAGCGAAGTGATCTCTGTTGCGTTGCCTTGCCTAACATTAATCGCCCTCTCAATAGACAGGGGATGTACGGATATTTTCCCTGTCCATGTGCATCTTCCCCCATAAAATCCACTTCCCTTTTCCAACCCTTTTTTTATAAGAGTAAGTTCTCCGACACATCAGCTTGTACTTGGAATAACTTCCAGTTGAGGAGTGTCTTCTGTGTGGTCGTGTTACACCAGACGAGGCATATACGTACAGAAAATGTTTTTACTGTCGTCTACAACTATTAAAATATTACTCTTTTTAGGGTTCCGCAAAATACGGAACCTGTATAGGACCACTTTCTTATCCGTCTATCAAGACCGCTTTTTTGAAAACGCGTGAACGTATCAAGCTGGAATATATTTCCTTATGTTATTAAGTTTAAATTATTCAAACTTTCGTGAGACATTATAATAAAGTCGTGAGCTGAGGGCCGCGTTCGCGAAATAATACCAGTCCCACACACCCTGATGAAGGGCCCCCGGTAGACTGGAACTGGAGTATACGTGAGTGTTTAGCCGTTTTTATATAAATATGTTCAGTATATCGCAGTGTACTGACCACACAAGCGCCGTAGTGTAGATGTGCGGCCACAGTGAGCGCGGTGAGTGAGTACAGCAGCGTCACCTCGTGCGCGGGGAGCAGCGCGCCGAGCGCGGCGCACGCGCACACCGCCCACACCAGCGCGCTCACACCCTCGCACCGCTGTCCGCTCATCTGACTTACTATCAGACGACACTGGAATATACATCATTTTACTTTTAGTAATATAAATGCGAATGTTTGGATGTATGGATGGATGGATGTTTGTTAAAATTTTCCGATTCTTTTTTATAGCCGAAGAAGGCAAATGCGCAGCGGGAACAACCGAGGTGTTCTTCGACGCCCATGGACATCAATACCAGAGGAACCGCAGATGCTTTGCATATGTTTCAACGCATCTCGATGAAATTTTGGTATAGATGGCAAAACAGGTTATTTTTTTTAATTTCTCGCGACCGGAGTCGCGGGCGACAGCTAGGCTTACGACTATTATGAATGCGAATATTTGGATAGATGTTTGTTAAAAGTTATCTTGTAGATAACGGTTCAACGGATCTTGATAAAATTCGACTCAAATGTATAATAGAACATAGTTTATTTTAATTCAACGCGGACTAACTTGCGGACAAAAATCGTTTGAAAATGACATGATACTGATCTGATGATGGATCTGGAAGGTGGATAGGAACATCACAATAAAACGACAGAAATTCACCGAGTTTATACTCGTTTGTATCGTCTCGACGATTTTCTGATTAACCTTTAATTCTTAATTAAAAAAAAAAGATTTTTTTTAAATAGCTGTAAAATAAAAGACATTCTCTTTGACAAACCACAGACAAAATGTAACAAAATCATAGACAGTTATATAATAATGGTTGAAATACAAACTTACCGCAACATTACTAAATATAGTTCCGATTAACAAGAAGACAACTCTGAGATCGTAGTCTGGTAGTACACTGGACTTGTGCACCCAAACTGTGGTCACTGTGAACACAGCTAGAATAGACCATAGAGGTCTTAAAGCTTCACTGAATGAACGCATCTTGCCTGTACGAAGAGTGTACGACCTGTGAATGATTTAACATTTTATAGACTGGCTATAAGGTGTCATATTTTGTGCTTATTTGCGAGCGGCCATCTGAAAGCGCCAAAATAGCGAAGTGACCGTTGCCCATAGACATACGCAATTGCATATGCGTTGCCTACCTTTAATCGAACGGAGGAAAAGATGCACAGAAAGAAAATATTTCCCTTTCCATGCATCCTCTCATCCGGAAAGCCCACTTACATTTCCCATCATTTCCTTATAAGAAAAAGGGTGGGAAGGGAAAGAGGACTAAATTAAAAGCCTCCGGGACGCACACTCATCATACTGTACTTGGAATAGCTTCCACTTGAGGCGTGTCTTCTGTGTGGTCGTGGTATTTCACCGGGCGAGCCGGGACAATTCGTGAAAAGATGTTAAAGCGGGCTCTACCACGTTAGTATTGGTGGAACTTCATTATGCGCGTTTAATAGGAACAAATCAAAAGCTGACATGACCTATCCATTTATAGAGATGTGTGGGAATGGATGTATGGATAACTCACCTGTATGTATTGTAGATAGCTACAGGCAGATTTGTGAATATTCCCGTGCCGTAAATAAGCCATTCGAAGCCATTGGCCAGAGTGTATGTACCAAATATGTACCGCTTGTAGTACCCAGTGCCGTGTATACCCGTCCACACAAACAGGAGGGTTGACGCCTGGAATATACAGGATGTTTTTCTAAGTAAAAAAGATACAGGTTGTTCTTTTAGTGCAAAAAGTATTGGCTGTTTTATATTGATAAAATACAGGATGTTTTATATGGCTAAAGTATAGATGTTACATAACTAAAAAATACAGGCGTTTAATTTGAAAAATATACAGGATGTTTTATATGGATAAAGTATAGGCTGTTACATAACAAAAAATACAGGTGTTTAATTTGGAAAAAATACAGGGTGTTTGATATAAAAATACAGGCTGTTTCATATAGAAAAAAATATAGAGTGTTTTTAAAGTGCAAAAAAGAGTTTTATAACATAATTTTTTTTCTATTTAGATGATTTTTACAATGAAATTATTAAATATTTGAGCACTATGCGAGGTGTTATAGAAAATGTTGTGTATAACATTTTGTCCTCATTTTACTATGATATGAATAATATACAGGATGTTTAAAAAAGTACATACCCACATACTGAAGTCATACCCCCAGGGTAGAAAGAGTACCCCAGTGTTGTACTTCTCCCAGTGGCTCAAGTAGAAGTTGAGAAGTAGGTTCCACATCACATAGTACATTCTGACAACAAAAACTATAATTTAAAAAAAATAGGACCCACACGTAAACAGTCTTTCGGTTAACAAGCATATAAAAATACAGACGAATTAATAACCTCTTTCTTTTTTAAGTCGGCTAATAATTATTATTTACCTAGCAATTAATTTCGTCTATATGTACTTCCAGATTATATTCTAGATCTATGCAGAAGATCAGAGAGATATACGCAGCCGTTCAGAAGATATTTACTAACAAACATCCATCCATACATTCACATTTATATTAGTAATATTTATTTATGATGTACAATAAAATCAGTTCAATGAGATTATATTGTTATCATGCATAAAATTTTATCTTCATATTTGACTTACTTTCGCAATGATAAAAAAATTTCAAGGCCTAAATAAATTTTATTTTAAATGCATTATAACTGATATACATAAAAGGTCAAAGATGACTGGGTCATAAATTATTCAAACATTCGTGAGATATTTTAATAAACTTATATAAAAACGGCTAAACACTCACGTATACTCCAGTTCCAGTCCATCGGGGGCCCTTCTTCAGGGTGTGTGGAATTGGTATTATTATACTACTCACTTGAGTGAACTGAGGGCCGCGTCCGCGAAATAATACCAGTCCCACACACCCTGAAGAAGGGCCCCCGATGGACTGGAACTGGAATATACGTGAGTGTTTAGCCGTTTTTATTCGCATTTATAATATTAGTAAGATTTAAAATAATATTACCTAATAGGCGGTATAGAGAAGTCCCATCGTCCAAATATAGAATAAAGACAGGCTGGTATGAAGAAAACTGAATACGAATCTAGACCATGGTCAAAAAGCTCTCCTAAAGGTCCAGATGTTTGTGTTCTTCTAGCCTGTTTACCATCGATACCATCTAGAAAGGAAAACAATACAATAAAACTAAAAAAATCTTAATACAACTCATATGTTTAGTATATAACATCTGGAGATATCCATCATAGCGTCAAAATCCATAAATCTGGCTAAATGCAATATTTTTTTATTATAAAAAACGATATATCCAGACTCTTGGTCTGGACTCTATTTCGTATATATTCTTTAAGGTAAGCGTCCTTTGATCCGCGCCGGACGCACCGTACGCACGGCCCACAACGGATTTTAATTTGCTTTATATGATGTTACCATCATCCTCTATGCATCAAGACAAGGCAAACCCGTTTAATTACGCCCGAGGTGGGCGAATGGACGCGAAGCTTTATGCTAATTTTATAATAGTGAGTTCCATTTTTTTTAGTAACAACAACTTTAGGTCATCTAAGCAAGAGCGTTACGAGACTTGACCGCTTCAGAAGTCCCTCCACGATCGCTGCGTCTCTTTCCCATATCTATTTAAAAGATAAATTGCAGTTTTTTTTTCTATGGAATATCGGTGAAATTCAGACAAAATTAGGTTTAAAATCTACTTTTTAGTGTACAAAGGTTTATCATCATCAGCTCACTATACGTCCCCATCGAGGGGCTCGGAGCCTACCCTAAGTTAAGGGTGATTAGGCCATAGTCAACCACGCTGGTCAAGTGCGTGTTGGTTGACTTCACACATATCTTTGAATTTCTTCTCAGATATGTGCAAGGTTGCATCACGATGTTTTCCTTCACCGTAAGAACGTCGGATAAATGTTCATATGTAAATCGGATATCGAAAAACACATTGGTACATAGCGGGATTCGAACCCAGGACCTGCAGATTGCAAGTCAAATACAAAGTCAAGTTACAAAGGTTAGTATAATTAAATTACATCAACATTCAATGTAAATCTTCTTCAATAAACTATATAAAAAGAATTAAGGGCAACCTTTAAACATCTTATATATACGTCTTGAAGAAGCCTTGTAAAGGCTTATGTAACGAGATTCAACTAACATTCTTTCAACTTCTTACTATAACTATGACTTTCAACAGAAAACATGTAAAAATATTTTTATCTTTTTTAAAGACAACAACATAACTCACGCCCGTAACCTAAAGGAGTAGTCAGAGATCACAGACTTCCATTGGGCGTGGTATTTTCAAGAATGGATTAAAAGATTAATTTTATGTCTATTTAAAAAATCGAATAATATTTATTATTTTTAAGTAAAAATTTAAAAATATATATTTCTTGAGACAAATAATTCAATTTGTATATAACCTATTTAAATAACAAATATGTACATAATAAAAATAAACATCACGTGAAAACATTATCTTTTTATCATTTGACATCAAAACCTGTGATTTATTTACCTATTCTTGTATGTTATCTCATTTCATCATTAAATATGAGTAGAAATGTAACATCGAAAATGAGGTTCCTTTAACCTGAGCTTATCGCTTGGTCTTGGTCCTTCGGGGGCGGACAAGGGTTATAAGGGTTTCTCCATTATCCAGGTTTTACTGTATACTATTCTGTTTCAATATAAAATAAGTAAAATTATTATCTTACCTAAAGTATAAGCAAGGAAGAGAAAAGCAGCAAGTAGATACCATAACTTCTGTGGTATAACTTCAGGATGCCCGTTCAAAGGCTGATCAGGGCTGGTCATGTTGTGGACCGAAGTACTCGCAGCGCTGTAGTCATAGTCGTAGTATGAGAGTAGAACGAAATCTAGGACAGTGAGAAGAAAGCCGACGAATGTAAGGACGTTCGGTGCGACCCATCGTGGTACCAGCTGCGAAAGAAATTATTAATTTTAACCTTTTAGTAGCGATGCTGTCTATGAATACGTGTTTTGATCAATTAACACGTTAAATGCTACTGTGAATGAAAGTTACATGTTAATTTTCAATGCCATCGACTCGACTCAGAATGCAAAGCACGTAAAAATCTTAGCGGCGTTGATAGTGTTAAGGTGTAAAAATTTATAGAGATTGAGCAGTATTTTAAATATTTTTAATTTTAAGTAAAAAAATAATTTTTTTATGATATTTAATAAAAGCTATTATTCAATTCTGATTACATATAAATTTTGACGTCAATATTTTTTTACGTAAAGCCGTGGTTTTTATTAACCTAATATTATTAATAGAATTGAAATTTTAAACATTCCTTATTAATCCGATCCCTCGCATGTGATCGACATTTTTATTCATACCAATATTGGTTGTTTTACGTGAACAAGAATCGTGATGTGTTATTTAAAAGTCATGTCTCATAAAACTGGTATACTTCTCGATATACCGGTTTTATAAAGAGTGAATTACAAATCACAATGAGCTAGATAAAGTCTATATTAGCTTACCAATATTATAAGTTTTTTTATACCATAAGGTAGCAAAGGAGCGAGCCAGTTGAAATCGCTGAAATAGCGAAGTGAACGTTGCCCATAGACATACGTAATTGCATATGCGTTGCCTACCTTGAATCGACGGGGGAGAGGATGCACGGAAAAAAATATCTTTCCTTTCCATGCATCATCCGGAAAGTCTACTTCCACTTTCCATCCTTTCCTTATAAGAAAAAGGATGGGAAGGGAAAGTAGACTAAATTAGGCCTTCTAAATTAAAGTGCGAATGTTTAGATGGATGGATGTTTGTTTGAAGGTATCTCCAGAACTAAATTTTGGAATACATATAGAACATAGTCTGAACACATAGTCTACTAACAGTTAATATAATAAGTTAGCTGCCTCTGTTAGATAAGAAAGTATAGATTATCTGTTAATTGCCCAAAGTACCTAAGGTTTTCCGGGAATATCTGTTTCATTTTAAGAAGTACGGTCTTATACGATTCGTATTCAGTGTCATAGACTAGATATATTTTTTAATTAATTATTATTTAGTATTCAAATCAGGCCAAAGTATGGATTTCTCATACAATAAAGAAGGTACATGTCGGGAATTCAGTCTAAAGTAATTTACTTATGAAAACATTCGTGCCTTATATATTTCTATCGATGAACTCAGTTTATTTCTATCGATAAATATTTAAAAGTATAAGACCTCTTTTCCACTAGCGTGTTCAGTACTGCGGCTTGTGACATTTATTACCGTGATTGCTATTTCCACTGATGCGACTACGACTGACATAAAACTCGCGCGTGACCGCAATGCGCGACTAGTGGAAAACACCTTTAACCTAACTACGCTACTTTTGGCAGCAATATACCCAAGGTTTCGAGTCAATTATTTCTACTGGAATGCGGTAGTTGTGACGTAACGGATTGTAAACTGCGGCAATATTAAAAAAAAAAGTAAAAAGTTAAATATATTTTTCATATACAGAGTGTTCAAGACATGTAAAATGGAGTATTCCATTGTATACATTTTTCGGGACATAACTACTACCATACTACTAACTGTATAAAAATATACATAGAGTTAGTCATAATCAGAAAGCACATGTACACTGTCACGATAAGATATAAAAAAATAATATCGATAAATGTTATGAGTAAATTACTATTCACAATGAACATACAGCATGTCAATAATCTATTTAATATAAACTTTATCTACTTAACCATAAGGTACACATTCAGTTGTACATCGTTATCAAAAATGGCGCGACTTTTGCAAAACCGCGCGATATTTACGCCATAGATAAACCGATAACTTTTGATATGAAATATGCATATATTTGTATGACAATCAATTAAAATTACTAGTATAAAAAAACTGAACCATATTACCAATCTTACTAATATTATAATGTGAATATTTAGTTGGATAGATGTTTGAAGGCTACATATATCTCACTGAAATTTGGCATATATAACATAGCCTAGAAGACATAGGCTACTAATTAAGTTTTTATTTTAATTCCGCGCGGACGGAGACGTGGGCGATAGCTAGTATTGTAATTTTTTCTAGCATAAAAGCATCATCAGTGGGTCTGGTCTTTGTTATGAATAACACTAACATCTATAATGATTCTAACATTTCAATCAGCTAATACTTAAACTTAATGAAGTCTTAAGCCTTACTTAAGTTATGATTGACTGTCTTATAAAAAAATAGACATCAAAATATCTACTATATTTAGCCGATGACAAAAATGTCCTCTGATAATATCTTTTATACATAAATCTTAAGGTAATCTTCTCTTGATACTCGGATTGCTATCTATTGACTTGTTATCAGAACTTAGGAAGTCTGCAAGGCCATAATATTAAACAGACAACATAGACAAATCAATAAACAGCATCAAGCTGATACACAAACCCTAGTCTCAAAATATAAAGAATTACTTTTAACACTGGCTTTCTTTTTGTATGACATTAAATGTTTTAAAAATACTAACTTGGTTAAACATATATCAATACTAGCTGTAGTCTGCGACTCCGTCCGCGCCTAATTTACAAAAACTTAATAGCCTATGTGTTGTTCCAGACTATGTTCTACATCTATGATAAATTTCAGGGAAATCTATGCAGCCACTCTGCAGATACCTTCAAACAAACATCAATCCATCGAACTAACATTCACATTTATAATATGAGTGAGCAGGAAGAACATAAGGGAGAACTTATAAGACATAGCCAGCAAAGAAATACTAGCCTTTAAACTTCTGCATTTTATTAAATATATATTTAACCATACACCTAAAAACTATAACTTTTATTACCACAAAAGAGGATAATATTTTTAATGTCCATGTATTTAGGTCATACACAAGTTCCAAAACCTATATCCTAAATTATTTAACTGAATTTGAGTTTTTTATTCATTTTCAAATTTAAAATAAGTAACTTACCTCTACAACTTTGTTCCAAAATGGATGCATAACATAAACACTTAGGGGACTGGTGTCTATTGCCATGTACTGGAATAAAAAAAATATATTGTAGTTATGTTTAAAAGAAATTACTGCATACAAGTTTTGCGATATAAATTTAATTACAAATACCGTTCGGCGACGTTTATTTAGCGTAAATTAAATTAATTTCAGTTATAATAAAATTCACACTTTTTCCTTCTTTAAAAATAGTAAACAATCAAAAAACAAATGAAAAATACAGTGCTAGAAAACTTTACGTTTAAATAATACAATTACAAGTGTTTTGTAATAAGCAGGAAGAGAATTTCTTCATAAATTCGAAAGTACAATCTTTCTAATGCTGCGTAAAAATCGATGAGTTTTAGGTTATATCACGGAAGTTTCCTATAATTGAGAACCACTGTCATACAAATATCAATATAAATTTATAGAATTTACCTTGTAATTATCGAAGCCTTCTAGGTGTTCCCTAGTGAGATATTTATAGTTAAACATTTTTGTAATTTTTAAATAAACACCGAGACTTGTAAACTAAGTGGTATTAAATTAAATTTTATTACGTTATAATTTACATTTTAAAGATTAACTTAATAATGGCATCACTTGTTCAGTAACAATAATTTTAATTGATTATTAAATACGCCACTTTATTAAATTCATATCAGACCACCCATATGAATGTGTTATACAAAATTACTGTTCGGCTTCGGCTTGGTAATTGGCTATATTTTGTGTAAACCGTGTGAATACGTAACGGTGATGTCACAAATATTTTAAATATGTAGCATGCTGTTCTATATCTTATTCAATTGGAATAAAGAATATAATAAAATCTATTGTATGAGTCGAAAAGGATGCATTGAATGAGTGAATGAAACAGGCACATTGATCATTGATGCAGCCAAGCAAACACAAATCTGCCTTGGATTCTTGGCTTTTGGCCCAAATAATTTACAGGGAGAATAATTAAAATTATCTAGAGAATATAACGCAACTATTTTGAACTGATGTTTTTGATTGGACAAACTGTTATTAAAATAATTTGTTCAATTTAATAGAGTTTTGTTAATAAATATTGCCTGTTCAATTTGTGCAGTTATTTGTTCTAAGGGGTAAATTGCTATTTTCATTGGACAGGCGCAATAAATTTATTGCAGATTGGCGAAATAAAAGTTTGGAAAATAAAATAGTTTTCTTTAACCTTTCCTGGAGCTAATTTCTCAGGGCACCAATTTTTATCTTCTTCTTTCTTGGTCTTTGTGATTGTTGATACGATAAGCTATTGGTGCAATAAACAAAAAAAAAACCCATCAGTGCGTCAACATGGTGTAAGTACTTTGTATTATCTGGTGTAAAATGCTTGTCGATAAATCGAATTATTGATTAGATAAGATATTAATAGATCAAACGACGCTTTTAATAATCAGTCTTGCGAAAAACTTGCCAGTGATATTAAGTCTATAACATTTAATTAAAATGTATCGAAGTTCAGACGGTTATTTCGAGAATAGTATAGGCGAGGAATACGTTGTGCGGAAACGTAGAGGCAAGAAAAAAGGCAAAGGTAATATAAATTTAAAAACAAATCAAGTGCCAACAGCCGATGATAGCGATGCCAATATGGAGGAACTCGAAAATGATGATGAAAAATCAATAAGTGAAGTACAACAAATAAAAACAATAAATAAAAATGTAGATTATCAAAATCCAGATGAAGATATGTCAGATTGTTTATCAAGGGTCTCGGTAGATGGCGTTATGAAAGCACCACCTCAAATACAAGTCATAGAACCTGAACCATACGAAAAAAACAAAACATATTCTCCAAGTATAAGTCAAGAAGAACAAGAAACAATACTATACAATAATAGAGCATTATCCAAACACGCTGTGACATACGAATTAGAGAAATTCGAAAAGAATTGCCTTATTATATTCAATCAAGAGAATGTCGACGGTTTTAAACCGAGACATGGTACGGAGAAGGATGTGCAGGCTCTCAAATCTACGTTTAGCAATTACGGTTTCGAAGTGACGGAACATAAGGATTTTACCAAAGATGAAGTATTTAGAGAACTAATGACGTGTATGTATTCATTCCAATTGTTTTTTTGCCTTAAAGTAGCTTTTATTAGCGAAACTAACTATAATTATCTATTGTTTTTCCGGCATATGGAAAGGATAAGCAATTGTTTTTTTTAAATAGTAAAAGATAATAAACAAGCCAGCGGCCAATTTAGTTATTCAAAAAAGCGAATTTGCGTTGTCTACCTTTAATTGACAGACGAGGGGTGTACTCATTCCAATCGTGATCCGCTTCCAATCCCATCCTTATAGGAAAAGAGTGTTAAATGGAACACGTCTAAAATTAGGCTAACGGAATGCACACTCCACTGCAATTGCTTTCACTTTACGTCTGTCTTTTGTGTGCTCTTAGTATTTTGCTTGAAGAGTCGACCCATTCGTCCAACAGATGTTTTTGTAGGCTCTACCACTGTTTAATTTGCAATTGTTTTTAATGCTATGTTATCTTGCTTTATGATTTTTTTTTCTTATTGCATAGAATTGGGTGGTTTATAGTTGAACATCCTTTGTAATCTACTTTTTGGTTTTTTTTTACGTAAATCTTATATATATAAAAGAAAGTGGTGTTAGTTACACTATTTATAACTCAAGAACGGCTTTACTGATATGACTGAAAATTGGTGAGGAGATAGCTTAGAGCCAGGAGACGGACATAGGATGCTATTTATTCATTTTTTTTTTCGAATTTATGTCTTGAAGAGCTGCTTTTATTTAGCTTACTTACTTAATATTATAAATGCGAATGTTGAGATGGATGTGATGTGGATGGATGGGTGTTTGAAGATATCTCTAGAACGACTGAACGGATCTAGATTAAATTTGGCATACGTATAGAACATAGTCTGAAAGAACAGATAGGCTACAATAAGTTTTTTTATATATCCACGCGGACGGAGTCGCGGGCGACAGCTAGTAAAGTATAAAATAGATAATAATAACATCATACTTTATTCTAAATGTTAAGTGTATTTTAAAAACGCAATACATATGTACCTTTCATCTCAAATATAGATTAAAATGACAATTGTGAAACATTTATCTAGAATCTAGATAAATAAATGCCTGTGAATTACAACAATCTATAGTCATCATGATAAGAAGAATAGAGAATCAAAATTTACTTCGAATAAGACGATATTAATGCTATCTTCTAGACCTAGTCTAGATCTTGCTTGCGACGTCTATGCTTGATATATATATTGCTTACATAGTTAGGAGAAGACTGAGGTACCTTGAATGGATTGTGTGAAAGTGGATATGCGTAAGAAGGAGGTGAATTCAGATATGACAGCTGACAGCGATGTATAGAAGAGTTACATTCTATTGACCTCCGTACTAAACGATGGGGTCCACTAATAACTAAAAGAAGAAGAAGAAGACCTCCGTAGTGAATAGAACTTAACATCTGCCCGTATTTATTAGATAGTAAATACATGGAGCGTCAGTGACTCAGAGGCGAAGCTCTTGACTTGTAATCTGCAGGTCTGGATATCGAATTCCGCTGTGTACCAATGTGTTTTTCGATATACATACATTGATCCGACGTTCTTACGGTGAAGGAACACATCGTGATGCTACACATATATGCGAAGGTCATAGATATGTGTGAAGTCAACCCGTACTGGGCCAGCATTGACTATTACCTAGTCACTGACTTAGGGTAGACTCCCCTGCGAAGTATATCAAAGATATATGTGAAGTCAACCAACCCGCACTTGGCTTGACTATGACCTAATCATCCTTAACGTAGGGTAGTCTCCGAGCCTCTCAGTGAGGACGTATAGGGAGCTGATGATGATGATAAATACATGTGTTCCAGTCAGTGAGAGGGACTTCACGGATTATGGCTGCGTGGCTGTGGCTGTGCTCACCCATGGCTCGCATCACGGCCTACTGCGCGCTAAAGACCTGCCCTACAGCGAAATTGAGATTATTAACCATTTCAAAGTGTACAACAAGCCTACACTCGTTACTAAACCGAAGATCTTGATTATACAGGTAACATTTATTAATAATATAGTTGTCGCCCGCAACTCCGTTCGCGCGGAAAATAACGTACTCAGTAGCCTATGTGTTCTTCCAGACTGTGTTCTTAATCTATACCAAATTTCAGCGAGATACATGCAGCCATTCTGGAGATATCTTCAAATAAATATACATCCATAATGCTAGTAAGATTAGCAAGATAAATAAAATGGATATCTGTTTAAAGGTATCTCCAGAACAGCTCAATGGATCTTGATGATATTTGGCATAGATGTTGAACATAATCTGGAAGAACACGTAGATTACTAAATTCTAATACCGCGGTCGGAGTCGCGGGCGACATTTAATTGTCTACACGATTTTGCTAAAATAGCGAAGCGACCCACATATAATAGCATAGCATCTTATCTACCATGAGTCATGACTCGTTAACAATAAAAATCTATCTAATGCAATGGGGAATCCATAAATATATATTTCGCAACAAAAATGTTATCTTTTTTTATCTCTATAACAAGAAGTATCCGGAATGATTCAACACAAAACTACTGTTGTTCATAATTTTATCTATACAAAGACGTTCCGAGTATTACTAATTTTATATCTTTGTTATTTTTCGTACATCAGCAATTTATCTCCTATGGACATATGATTCGATATATATAATATGTTATAGGATTAAGACTCCAATAGATAACTACGATAAGAGTTATTTTTGAATGTTAAGGATATACTTTTTCTTTAATAGGCTTACTTTGTACCAGCCAGCAGCAGTCGGCAAGACAACGCCATCTGTTGGGGAGCATTGATATTACAGAATGTATCCTTCAATAACTAATAGTAAACTTACTGTTGGTTTTGGTCTGAGACCAAAATTTCTGTATTATCGTCATCCCTGTCATAACAATATGTTTTAAATTGATATTTTGACTTCAGAAACCCAAGGTTATTCACACTAATTTAAACGATTGACCTTTATAATAGATGTTTAAAAGCTTTTTCTTTGTATCAGGCATGTCGCGGTAAGAACGAAATGCAAGGAGTCCCGGTCTTTCACAGTGGGACTATAAGGAAAGATTTCGATGAATCCTTGGAGCCCTACACACTGCCAGCGGAGTCCGACATGTTGATATTACACAGTTCTTATATCGGACATCCATCACATAGGTAAATATTAAATACTTAAGTATACAACAAATATGGTAAGTATGGTATATGAAAACTAAAAATCACTACCACCGCCTTAGGGGGCCGCCCGGGCTTAGGGGGGCGCCTCAGGCGCCAGATTCAAACATAAAGAGGCGCCTGTGATGCCCCTTAAATTACCCTATCTTTGAAAGACTTACCCCGACACCAAAAGAAGGAGCGCCGAAAAATGTCGCCTAAGGCGCCGGAATTACTTAATCCGGCCCTGCGTCATTAGTTACTCTCAAATTGATAAATATTTTTATTTTTCAGAGACGAACTCTACGGTTCATGGTTCATCCAGGCATTATGTCATAAGATCAACCAATTAGCTTCAACACATGATTTTGAATCGATTGTGACAGAAGTAAAAAGAGAAGTTGCCGTTGAGAAATATCACGAGGAATACAACAGAAGAACATTCGAGATGGATGTTAATAAACAAATGCCTGTCACCACATCGACATTGATAAGGAAATTATATTTAAAAAAATATGGCGATGATTCACCTAATTTAACTCCAACTTATAACAGGATTGGTGTTTCTAGTAACGAAGTTTTAGATAATAGTACTCCGAGCACACCGCTGTTGGTCCATTTCGGACCGTGCTCCTGTTTCTTGGATCATTTTGCATACGTCAGAAGATGTTTGAGGTTAGAATGTTTTTAATTATAAGTTTTTAACACATTCAGTGCTCACCACTCGGATCCGACCGGGGAGGAGGCATGATAGGGGTGCCGACCACTCGGATACGAAAAAGGTTTTTTTTAATTATAAATAAAAACAATGTACTTTCCATTTTTTTAAATACATATATACATAATCAAAATATGCCTTAAAATGTTGGCCCCTGGCTAATTATTCTATATTATATCTTAAGTAGTGAATGTGTTAAAGGTATGCCAGATACAAAAAAAAATTAGTAATCTTTTATTCTTTGGTATTAGGTAATTTTAAAGTGAAAAAGTCTGTGCTATTTATAAAATTCATGGCTGCTCAAGCCTTCGTATTGATGAAAAGATTTGAAAATCCTCCGATAAATATACATTGAAATCTTCGATAAAGATGGAGAAGAATATGATAAAAAAATAACGTATATGTTAGGTTCACATTAGATAAATATTAGTATTTTTTATTTATCTTAATGTGGCAATGAGCGAGCGGCCACCTAAAATCGCTGAAATAGCGAAGTGACCGTTGCCCATACACATACGTAATTGCATATGCGTTACCTACCTTTAATCGACGGAGGAGAGGATGCACAGAAAGAAAACATACCCATACATCCTCTCATTCGGAAAGTCCACTTCCACTTCCCATCCTTTCCTTATAAAAAAAGGGTAAGAAGGGAAAGAGGACTAAATTAGGCCCCCGGGACGCACACTCATCAGACTGTATTTGGAATAGCTTCCACTTGAGGCCTGTCTTCTGTGTGGTCGTGGTATTTCACCGGGCGAGCCGGGACAATTCGTGCGAACATGTTAAAGCGGGCTCTACCACTGTTAAATAATGAATAAAAAAAACAAACTGTCATTTTTAATTTGCCATGTCACTCTTCATAACCAATTTAATTTTATTATCTGTTGTTTAAATGTGTTTCTATTTTCAGTTACCACGTCGAAGAGAACCCACATGACATAACAGCGAGATCATATTTAGAGATATCCGAATCTTTTGAGGATAGCACAGAGTTTAATACAGCTAAAAGGAAAATGGCCAAAGCTATTAGCAATCATTTAAATACATGCGCGAAAGATGCTTATTATTTTAAATATTTATATTTTTATAAACATGGTAATGACTGAATAAATATAAAAAATTTATACTTCGTATTTTATTTTAAATACATCCCTGGCGTAAAAATTACCCATACTTAATTCGTAAGAACAGTAACTGATTAACCCCTGTTTATGATTAGCTTATGTATTCAAAATATAAAAGTTATAATTGTTAATTGAAAAAAAACAAGCAAAAGTTAGCAAACGAGGAAGCGGCCACTTGAATTCTTCAAAATAGCAGTGACCGCTGTCCGTAGACGTTTGTATTTGCAGATGCGTTGCCTACTTTAAACAGACAAAGAAGGGGACGAACAGAAAGAGGATATTTCCCCATTTTTATGCGTCCAATCATCCGTCAAATCCACCTCCCATTGGTATCCTTTCTTTGTAAGAAAAGAGTGGAATGATAGAAAAATAGGCCTTTAATATGACTGTATTCAGAGGAGATTCCGCAGATGATTATGATTTAATGGATGGACCTCTTCAAGTCATCAGCCGCCATACAGTTACATCATCATCATAATCATTAACTCACTATACGTCCCCACCGAGGGGCTCTGAGCCTACCCTAAGTTGAGGTTGATAGTTACATGCATGCGTGAATAAATGTAAAAGAATATTACTGATTGGCAGTCGGTGAAAAATACTCATAAATCTGTACCTAGGTCCGAGATATGTTTGCGTAAGTTGTTATTCCTGCAATTTCAAGTATCCAAACAATTCTAATGAAGATTATAAATAGTCTTAGCCATTTCTGAACGCAGTTAGCACCCAATTGACAAACAATACGATAAAGGAAATGACTCAGGAATTAATTGAATCTCAGAACACAAACGACTCTGACCTAATTTCTGGTCGATGTTAAATTTATCCTGTTTTCGTAAACGCATTGGATGCCGTAAGATGTTTGCATCTGATGTGTCATTGTTACCTATCGATTGTGAATTTAGACAACTTATATACGGACTAAGTAGTCATTAGTTCTAAAATGTAAAGAAATTGTGAACTACATTTAAAAATTGGGCATCCTTATATGACATTAGCGGTCGCCCGCGACTTAGTAGCCTATGTGTTCTTCCAGACTATGTTCTATATGTATACCAAATTTCATTGAGATCCGTTCAGCTGTTCTGGGGACATCTTAAACATTCATACATCCATCCATTCATCCATTTAAACATTCGCATTTATAATATTTGTAAGATAATGATCTTACAAAATTACTTAAAAAACACTATTTATCTGTCTTTCTGTTTGTCCGCAAGTCTTCATTTGTTTTGGGTAATCTCCGGACTACTGGACCGATTTTGACGGGACTTGAACTGGAAGATAGCTGATGCATAAAGGCATATTATAGTGAACTTTGACTAATTAAAAGTAAAAAGTTACACTAAAAGGATGACTTCAGTTTCATTGAAATAAATCCAAAATTAATACTGGTGACAAAATTAAGAGGATAAAGCATTTGATGAGCCAAAAGGAAAATTTATTATCAGCCGTATATTCGGTCTTGACGTAATTGTTTTTATTTAAATGATACGACCCAATTTTCATTATGACGTCATAATTTGATTCAACATGTAAAGGAAATTAAACTGTTTTGTACCTTACTTGTAACGTTTCATGGTTTAAAATTGAATATCTTTTGATTATATCCATGAAATGCATCTCTGAGTCATTCAAAACAAATGCAGGTGGGCAGAAACAAGTTTGCGATGGCGAATGCGCTCGTCAACAAATAAAGCAGAACTATGTTTAGACTGAATGAGTGAATGACATAGAGTCATACTTGATTATTGCACTTTTGTTATATATTTTTGACAGCATCCTAATGAGTTTTTTGACCATGTTGACTCATTTTTGTAACTTGGAGTTTCACATGTTTATACATAGCGATTGCTCAGTAAAACTGTTGCTTTTCTCATACTAATATAACACTAAGGGACTCGCTAGTGGTCACTTAATAATTATCGACTAACCGTAGGTTTTTGAAATCAAAATCTCTGTAAAACTTATCGTCATCTCTGTCATTATCTTTGACAAAAAATATGTTTTAAACAGGGATTTTGGTCTCAGAAACCAACGCTAAGTATGCCCATTACAAATTACAGTTACATATTATAGAAGAATAAAATATATACGAATAAAAATTTTATCAACTACGTTGTAAGAAATGTCTATCTCCAATAAATATTTTTTTTCCATTACGCTATACAAAACCAGTTTTCTCAAAGATTTTATAGTTTAACTAGCTGTCACCCGCGACTCCGTCCGCGCGGGATTAAAAATAGATGTTGACCGATTCTCAGACCTACTTAATATGCTCACAAAATTTCATGAGAATCGGTCAAGCCGTTTCGGAGGTGTATGGGAACGAAAATTGTGATACGAGAATTTTATATATAAAATATAATTACGAATATTTAGATGAATGGATGGATGTTTGTCAGAAAGTATCTCCAGAATGGCTGCATGGATCTTACAGTAATTTAGCATAGACGTAGAACATAATTTGAACACATAGGCTACTAATACAACCAATTTTTAACAATAAACTAACAAAGAATCTAACGAATAGTTTTAAATCTATGATATGAAATAAAATATTAAAAAACGAATAATTTACTAAAATATATTATTAAAAGGAGTCCCTTTAGGCAAGGTCCCGAAGATACTGGCAGCGTTCCCCCTTTGGACAGCTAAACTAATTCTTTGACCGAGGTAGCTGCCAGCTCTTCGGTCCCCTGTGATGTCGGCTACTAATTATATTTTTTAATTCCTCGGGGACGTAGTCACGGACAAAAGCTAGTATTTAATATAAAAATTACGGTGCAAAGTCTGTACGAATTTTATATAAACTTTGATTACGGCATTTTTAATTTTTAGATCGTTCAATCTCCAATGACATCATCGTTCCTAATTCTTAAACAGGCAATTAGTTGTTGCAGAACAGACGAAATTGCTTCCTAGAACAATAGCAAATGATGTAATCTTAAGATTCTGTTTTTTGTAATCTGATAACGTTTTCATTGTCTTGCAACAATAATAAGCGAAGAAAGCAAAAAAAACACCGTAATTTTCGTAATGCATTTTGAACTTAAACTCAACATCTACACTTTTTTTGTTACTATAAGATGGCAAACGATCGAGCGGATGAAATCGTTGAAATAGCGAAGCGACCGTTGTCTATAGACATACGCAATTGCTACACTGCTTGCTTGGATACACAGACAGAGAATATTTTCCCTTCCCATACACCCCCTCGTCTTTCCTTGTAAGAAAAAGGGTGGGAAGGGAAAGAAGACTAAAATTAGACTTCCGGGACGCATCTCATCAGACGAAACGCAGAATTGCTTCCAATTCACGCCTATCTTCTGTGTAGTGAATGATGAACGATGAATGATATAAACGAATGACTGATACCTGACAGTAAGCAAGACGTATCACCTCCTTGACCTAATTTATAACACTAATTTTACAAATTTCTATGATAAAAAGATGTGCAAAAACATCAGTTTTTTACCTTGACTCAATTAACATGTGCAAATTGTTGCATTGTTCTGCGCAGGCGAATGTCTGCATGTGTTTCATATTAACGGGAAAACGAGGATAAAAATAATAAACTTTTATATTTCATTTGTTTTATAAACTTACGCATTTATAATATACTAGCTGTCGCCCGCGACTCCGTCCGCGTGGATATATAAAAAAACTTAATTAGTGTAGCCTATGTGTTCTTTCAGACTATGTTCTACACCTATGCCAAATTTCATCAAAATACGTTGAGTCGTTTTAAAGATAACTTCAAACAAATATTCAACCATCTAAACATTCGCATTTATAAGTAGGAAGTAAGATTTACCACAAAAGTAATTCCTTTCCCTTTTCCCCGCGTACTGTAACATAACCTAAAAATTTAATACATATACTAATATTATAAAGCGGAATAGTTTGTTTGTTTAAACGCCCTTATCAGGAGCTACCGGTTTGGTTTTAAAAATTCCTTTTTTGTTGGATAGTCCATTTATAGAGGAAGGCTTTAAGCTATATAACATTACGCTGCGACCAATAGTTTTTTATTCCGCGTGGACAGAGTCGCGGGTGACAGCTCGTACTTAACTAAGAGTTTAATTACAGAATATAATCTCAAAGTATTTAAAACTCAAGTGGTTATCCACAATTAATTCTTAGCATCATAACCCCTTTTAACTCTGTCTGATGTGGCAATGAAACTGAAATATTTAGTACCGTTTGACGTCATCACTGTTATTCTCTTTGGTTTCCACACTAAGACTGATAAACAAACATATTATTAATTTTTCATGCTAAGTATATGCCTTAGTTGTATTACGAAGAAAATCCGACACTGGCAGTGTACTGGCGCAACTAGCCTTATCAAAATATCAACGTTTATGTCCCCTCAATAATCAATCTTACACTTGACTGGGTATAAACTTCTAGTCAGTTTAAAAATTAATAAAATAAAATGGGACCCACCAGAAATTCAACATCGGAGCACCAGGGGCGGAGTTACGCGGTAATACACATAGAAAACAGGTGAATTGATAACCTCTTTCTTATTTGAAGTCTGCTAAAAAGTGCACAATTCGCTCTAAATTATTGTAACTAATAATGTCTAAAAGTAGCCCATTAAGGACTCTGAGTTCAACAGTTACTGTTTAGTTTTTATTATTACATAACATTCGAGAAGAATCAAGGTTGAGTTTTAGTATCGCTATAAAAGCCTTAAACATGTTAATAAACCACTGAATTGTGTTAAAAAGAACAAATTGTTTTATTGGTATGCAAAAAAAATATTTGCGAATTCCTTCTGAAGTTAAGACGCATATCTTAGTTCTTTTAACAATCTCTTTTTCCAGGAACGTATTTTTATTTAATTACTCTAGGTTATAATAGGTTATCTTTAGCTAATATTAATTAGTTAAGTTCGTATAATTAAATATATCAGTATATCAACAAAAAGAGACGGAAATCGGGACTTATGCTTATCGCGTTTTGACTTCAAA